GTGCCATTGCATTTCTGCACTTGGGGCTCCCTTGCTCAACTTTTAGTCGAGCCCGCTGTCGGCCTGGAGGTCCTCCGCCACTGCGCTCGCTAGCGCAACCTCTCGGTCTGCTCTCTCTCGACCATCGATTTCGAGATCAGCTGGATCGCGCAAATTTACTCATGCAGCGCTCCATCGATCTGCTCGAGGCGACGATTGTGGCAGGAGGTGATGCCTCTCTCGAGAACCCCCTCACCAGTCTCTTGTGGCAAGTTCCCGACATTCAACAGCTCAAGGTGCGGTTCCATCTCTACAACCTGGACCTTGATCAGTGTGAGTTCGGTGCGAGCTCCCGCAAGCCTACACGATTCTTGGTCAGTAATGCGATTTTTCTTTCTTTGCGTCGCTCCTGTTCAGGTAAGCATAAGCACCTTCCGCTCAAAGGCAAGGTTCGCCAAGCGAATGGGTCTTGGGTCTTCGCGACCAAGCCGGCTCAGGAATATCCGCTGCCTCTCTGTGCTGCTCTTGCACAGATGGTGGAACAGGTCGTGCACGCATGCCTGCCCCAGTTCCAGGCCTCCTTTGAGCTCGTGGCGCCTAAGCAAGATCGCAAGCGCAAGCTCGGCCAGGCGGTCAACTGGAAGGGTCATCGGCAAGAACAAGCAGCTCGCTTGGCCGCCTCGTCTGGCTAGCAGCTCAAACGTGGTGCGGCTAAGCCGTTGCTCGATGTCGAGTGTGAACCAGGCGTGGCAATTCGCTGGGCCCTCGGGATCCCGCACCCCTTTACAGTTCAGCCTGACGTGCCGCTCGAGCTCATCGCAAACATAGATCGAATCGCGGCTCGCCCTCTTTGGCTGGTCGACTATCGGATCAAGCAGCTCGACTACTGGCACGCTCGTGCCGTAGCTTTGTTGGCGGACACAGACCGGGAGCTCCGAGCCATTCCGGACCCGGCACTTCGCCGTCTTCTTCGAGGTGCTCCAGATTATGCTGATCTCCAGCTGGGTCATTGCACGCACGTCAAGCTCTATGATGAAATCCTCGCGGCCGCTCGCTGCCAAGATCTTTCTCTCTTGCAGGGCATTCACCAAGGGTTCCCGATCGTTGGCCAAATCCAAAGGTCTGGTCGTTGGCCGCCGTACGAAAAGAAGCAATCGCCTGTGACGATCGCCGAAGCTGAGTCCAGGGCCTGGGAGTTTCGTTCTAAGATCTTCAAACGGTGCCAGGCTGTGCCGGTTTCTGATAATCTGCGATCGCTCTGGCAAGCGAATATGGAGGATGTCATGGAAGGATCGACCGTGGGTCCTTTTCAGGACGAAAGCTCAGTGACAGAGTTCCTTGGTTGCTCGGACTGGATCCCGACACAGCGGTTCGAAGTGGTTCAAAAGAACAAGGTCAGAGGGTGCGACAGTGCTACTTCGAACCTTGTCAATAAGACGGCGGTGATCACCGAGAAGTTGCAGCTCCCGAACACGGATCTCAATGTCTCGGTGGTCCGCGAGCTCCGGACTCGAGTGGGCGATCGTCCGCTACGCGGGTGGGTTCTTGATGAGCGCAAGGCCTACCGCCAGCTCCCAATCGCCCCTCGGCATCGGAAATTCAGTGTCATCTGTTTGAAGGACCCCAGTGACGATCGACCGAAGTTCTTCGTCATGATCGGCCACTCGTTCGGGCTCGTGTCGGCAGTCTACAACTACAACCGCCGATCGGCGGCCCTGAACGATGTGTTTGTTAAGCTCTTCTACATGGTCGCTTTTAATTTCTATGACGATAAGTACGGGTTCGAGACGGATCTGACTGCGTCTTCAGCGAAGCTCGTTGCAGAAAAGATCCATTTCTTCCTAGGCGCGTCGTTCGATCAGAAGAAGCTACAACTTTCGGAATCCCCGGTGATCTTAGGGGTTACGTTCAACTTGGACGAGTTCCTCCTTGAGATCAAAGAGGACCGCAAGAAAGAGCTCACCGAATCGATCGATTCCATTTTGGATTCGGGTGTGCTCGACCCTGGAAGCGCCGGCAAGCTCAAAGGGAAGCTGATGTTCGGGGCTAGCCAGCTCTGGGGTAAGGTGGGTCGTGCCTTCTTCCGCCCCCTCTCGGAGAGACAATACTCGAAGGATCACAGCTCAGATCGCATGGAGCTGAACGAAGCTCTGAGACGATCGTTGATCTACTGGAAGTTCCTGATCAATTCGGGACCGCCGAGGGAGATGTCTCTCAGAGCTCAGAAGAGAGCTGACGTGGTGATCTTCACGGATGGCTTTACACCTGACGTTCGGAAGAAAGAAGCCGGCCCCGATCGCGTCGGCGCAGTGATGTTCGATCGGCATGCGGATACCCCGAAGCAGTTCTCGGAGATCATCGACGCAGAAATCTCTGCAAAGTGGTTGCCGCGCAAGACCCAGATAGTTCCGATCGAGATGATCGCGCCGATCCTGGCTCTTGAGACCTTTCGTGATCACCTCCGGAATCGTGATGTTCTTCTTCTGATCGATTCTGAGTCTGTGGAAGCATCTCTGGTCAAGGGATACTCCTCAAAGGAGGATCTCTGTGAGTTAGTCGAGATCTTTTGGGAGCTTTCGCTCAATTACAGAGTTAGTTTCTTCATCGACCGTGTATCCACGGATGCTAATCCCGCTGATTGGCCGTCTCGTGATTGCCTCGCGTTCGGCGAGGCGGCTGGTTGGCAGACAGTTCTGTGCTCATGGCCATCCGCTCTCGCGTAAAATGGTCTGGGCCTGGGAGTCGCTTGTGGTCTTGTCAGTCGGGAAGACTTGTTCGAGACTTGGACGATCGGTCCCGCGAAGGTTGCACCGATTGCTCCTTCGAGCGATGTGACTGCTGATGCTCTCTCTCGGGATGGCTCAGTGGTTTCGGGGCTGTTGGTCGGGGCTCTTTCGTCTCGTTCGATCTGATGCTCGACGGACCGCTCGCCCCCATGCCAGAGTGGTCAAAACGTTCGTTGCCACTCTGCATGCTTTCGACTGCTGTTCAGTGAGCTCGCGAACGGGTATGCGGGGAGTGTGGTTCTCCTATCAACGGGTAGGTAGGTCTGGGATAGGAGGGTCACATTCCTGCATGCGATCTGCAGTCTGCTCTTTTCATTCAGTTCTTTTCAGATGTGAACTTCCCGTGGCCATTTTGGGTCGAGGCGATCGCCTCGAAGGTCCGGGAAGGATCTGCTTTTTTGTCCCACCCAGCCCGCCCTTTGTTGTCAGAGGGAGTCGCTTGTGGTCTTGTCAGTCGGGAAGACTTGTTCGAGACTTGGACGATCGGTCCCGCGAAGGTTGCACCGATTGCTCCTTCGAGCGATGTGACTGCTGATGCTCTCTCTCGGGATGGCTCAGTGGTTTCGGGGCTGTTGGTCGGGGCTCTTTCGTCTCGTTCGATCTGATGCTCGACGGACCGCTCGCCCCCATGCCAGAGTGGTCAAAACGTTCGTTGCCACTCTGCCTGCTTTCGACTGCTGTTCAGTGAGCTCGCGAACGGGTATGCGGGGAGTGTGTTTGTTTTGTTTTTGTGTGTGTGTGTGTGTCTGGTTTTCGTGTTGTTGTTATTGTGTTTAGTCTTAGTGTCCTTATTGTTGTTACCATTGTGCGTGTTGTTCTCGTTGTGTCGTTGCTGTCATTGTTGTTGTTGTTGTCGCCGTTGCTGCTGCTGTTGTTGTTGTTGGTGGTGGTGCTGCTGCTGCTGCTGCTGCTGGTGGTGGTGGTGGTGTTGCTGCTGCCGTTGCTGCTGCCGTTGCCGTTGCTGTTGCTGTTTCTGATGTTGTTGTGGTTGTTGTTGCTGCTGCCGTTGCCGTTGCTGTTGCTGTTTCTGATGTTGTTGTGGTTGTTGTTGCTGCTGCCGTCGCTGTTGCTGTTGCTGTTTAAGATGTTGTTGTGGTTGGTGTTGCGATGGCTGTTGCTGGTGTTGTTGTTGATGTTGTTGTTGTTGTTGTTGTTGTTGTTGTTGTTGTTGTTGTTGTTGTTGTTGTTGTTGTTGTTGTTGTTGTTGTTGTTGTTGTTGTTGTTGTGCTTGCAGCTAGTGTCGTTGCTGTCATTGTCGTTTCTGTGTTGTTGTTGTTGTTGTGGGGTGTTGTTCCTGTTGTTGTTTTTTGTTATTAGTCTTGGAGCCCTTTATTGTTATTACCGTTGTGCTTGTTGTTCTCTTTGTGTTGTTGTTGTTGTCACTGTTGTAGTTGTCGCCGTTGCTGCTGCTGTTGTGGTTGAAGATGTTTTTCGTGTTGTTCTTAGGTTATTCATGTTTATCTTGTTGTTATTGTTGGTATTGTTCTGGTTGTTGGTCGTGGCATTGTTGGTGTCGTCGTTGTTGATGCTATTCTTCTTTTTTGTTGATACCGTGCATGTTGTTATTGGCGTTCTTGGTGGTATCGTTGTTCGTGTTTTTGTTGTTGTTGCTGTTGTTGTTGTTCTCAGTACTACTATTGTCATTGTTGTTATTGTTCTTATTATTCTGCTTGTTGTGTGTCTTACTGTTATCGCAGTTGTTATTCATTATTGTCATGCTGTTGTTATTATGGCGATTATTGTTCTTACCGTTACTGTTGCTGTTGATGTCGTTGCTGTTGTCGTTCTTCTTTGTATTTATTCTTGTATTATTGTGGTGGCAGCGGCGGAGGTGGTGGTGGTGGTGGTGGTGGTCGTATTGACGGTATTCTGAGCTCTTGATGGTATACGGTCTGGGAGTTCCCGACCCCACCTGCGTCTCTTCGCAGCCCACACCCTGCCCTCAAAGCCTTGAGGCGACCCCATCATCTTAGCACCCTCGCTATCGCCAGGCAACATAAGGGCGGTGGAGTGGTCGGAGTTGACAGGACCAATTATGGGACCCCGCACGTGCAAAACAAAAGAACACATGTTCGTCTCGCCGGTCTCTGCACGTGCCCACTCGGCCTCGAATGCCCCACCATGTAAGCCCTGGAACATACGTGACTGCAGCTTTGAATTCTCCAACCTGTAGGCCAAACTGCCGAGACTGCAGACTCTAGATCAGCATACTTCGCAGAGCCCAAACGCCACGAGGTAGGTGGTGGCGCAAGTACCGGTGGACGTCATGCGTTGGAGGAGGCCAGATTGTTTTTAATTGCTATACTGCTTGATTTCTTGGTACTGGGCTGCAATGCAGTTGGTCGGCTTACTTCCGGCTCCATTCATGCTCAGCTGTCATGCTTTGAAGACAGATATACCGGCTAAACCCTAAACCCCAAGCTGAACCAGGCCTGGTGCATTAGCTCGACCCTCTACCAGTCTTTGGCCTCGGTGGAGCCCCAGAAAAAAGGACAGAGGAAGGGGTTTAGGTTCTAGAGCTCGGGGTCACTGGGAGCTGAAGGGTTTGAGGTCGCGGCAGGTGTGAATATTTGGCTATTTTGGGTTTGGGGTTTTGGGGTGTTGGGTATTGCGGTGGTACGGGTTCAGATTCAGTCCGAACAAGCTGCAACTTGTGCGTTCTGGAGAGTTTCTATCTTGAGCTAGTAGCGACGCGGAAGATGCACGGTGCTGCGATTCTCTATGCTTCATGCTACGGACATGAGAAGGAGGGACGGCTCTAATGATTTCTAGCTGATTGTTCGAATCGAATGCAAAATACATGTTCATGGTCGTTGCTACGTTCGTCACCATTACTAGCAGCACTTGTTTGACGTTTTGTTGCCTAACTCATTTATTACTCTCCGAGTTCAATGGAGTCTGATGATGTATAATCTTATATAAGGCTCCTTTTTGATGATGCACTTGCAGCAAGTGATAGCCAGTACTCACACTGCGGCCATCTTTGCCAGAAGCCAGAAAGTTGGAACACCGTCATCCCGCCACTACTTCCTACTCGTACTTCGCACTCCCAGTCCCATTCCTGAGCCTACTATTGCTCCTAATCCTCTGCTACTACCACTCCTACTGCAATTACGACGACCGCTACTACCACTACCACCAGTACCACAACCATTGCCACTAAGTACTTACTGGTACATTGGTAGTATTCGGCACCCCCACCCCACCAACTACACTTGCTTTACCACTTTTAAGCCGCACATTCGTTGTTCTCGGCATTCGCAGTTCTTCCCTATTGTCCTAACGCCTTTCACTGCCTCACATGATTTTCGAGAGCGTTCGGGGCGCTGGCGGAATGGGGGATTGCAGGGACGATAACGACACCGTATCGTGCGCTCTGATGTGGAGCACTCATTTGTGGGGGCATCCCCAGCAACGCAAAGAATACAAATTTCATTGAGGCGGCCTGTATACTTCGTTTTGTTCCGGCCCATGTTTGTTTGGAAGCCACAAGATTTTTTCTCAGGCCTCGTAATCTGAAGACTACGTGAAGCTTGTCCGGCCACAACTGTTACTACTACTAGTAGTATTGTTGTTAGTAGCATTGGTAGTAGTAGAAGTTGTACCATTATTTAATTACTAGTATTGACATTGTTATTGTTCCTTAATCATCATAAAATTTGCAACTTTCATAATTGATCGTGGTATTAGTATTGCTATTCTTATTTCCGATTATTATTTGTAGTTTTGTTAAATGCTGATACTATTAAATGATAGTCTCATTACCGTTTGTTGTTGTCATAATGACACTTGTCTTATTGTCCACTGTATCACTACTATTGTTATTGCTGTTATCATTAAGATGATCAAGATTCTTGGTTACATATTACTACTGCGATCAGTCTGATCATTGTTTTATGATTGCTATTACGATCACCAATACTGGTACTGCTGTTATGACGTGACTAGTCTATTACTAGCTTCATTATTCAGAAAAGGACGCTTCGTTATTCCAATTACTAGTTATACTACTTTTAGTAGTATGACTCTTCATGATTCCTTTCATGGTTGTACTCTAGATAAGATACCGCTTGATACTGTTGTTGTTTGTGACTATTACTGGTATTGGTGTTTTTGGTTGTTGTTGTTTTTAAAGGTTATTGCTATTGGTATTGCACTTGCCACGGCCATTACGTCGTTGCTTTTGCTTTTGTGATTCATATTGCTAGTGCTATTACTAGATACTGCTATCATGCCTGTGATTGTTTTACTATGTATCATTGTTACTTGTATATTGTTGTTGCTGCTATTACTGTTATTATGACCACTGTTCCTGTAGCTATTGCGTATCAACTGCTACTGTTATTACCGGTATTAGCAGTATTGCTCTTACTAACGACTGACAATCCGGATCCCGCCCCCGGGGAGTTCCCCACAGAAAACAGCCCCCAACCCTACTTCATATGCAAACCCTCCTACGCTGAGGTCTGGGCTTTAGGGGTCACGGACGGCTGGCATTTAGGTTGTTTATTTTTCTTCCGCATGTTGCGCTTCATGTTTATAAGGGTGTCACATGGTCTTAGGTGAACCTGCGTCATGTGCGGCATTTACGGCTTCATCCCACTGTCCTACCACCTTTAGTTCGGCAGTTTCGTCTTGCTGTCGCATTTTGGTGCCGGTGCCTCACCAACTTCAGCTGCAATGAGTTAGTCTCTTCAACTTCTGTCCCTGTCACAGATGGGGCGCCTCAGCCCTGCAACTTCTGCTGCTGTCGCAGTTAGGGGGTCTAGAAGCTGTCACTGCCCAGCCGGATGTGGCAAGCGTAGTTGACTACTGGTTCTACTACGACGACGACCACTACTACTGCTATTACCCTTTTTGCAAACTTCTACGGCTGCTCTTACTGCTGCTGGCTGACAATACTACGACTAGTGAGGCTGCCACGATTTTCTACAACTACGGCTACCGCGACGACTGCTACGACCATGACTACTACCACCACTGCCACCGCCACTACCACTACCAAAGCTGCCGCTGCTGCTCCTGCTGCTAATGCTACAGCTGATGCACATAGCACCCATGATCGACCATGACCTGACTCGTGCAAGCGCCGCTGCCATCGCCCATTAGGAGGCCTTCCGGGCTACCGGCAGCATATCCCTGTTGGTGGGTGGACACCTCAGCCTGTCCAGGGTGCACATAGGGTTTGCGGTATTTCTGGCTTTGGTCTCGATTGCTTTGTGTTCAAGTGTTGGCCGGTCGGGACCTAACAGGGTTTCCATGTGATTGAAGACTTCATACCAAGTCCTCGTGGACACTCTAGGCTCTCTGTTCATAGTTTGCAGGTCCCGAGGATCAAGGTGCTAGAGACCCCAGGTGCCATGAAAGGCAAAGAGGCCTGCCCAAGCCCTTAACGCCGAACGTCTTACTTCCCTGAACCCAATCGAAACCAAGAACTTCAGCGGCAAAAAGACGCCAGGTGCATTGTTTCTCCTCACGTGGAGGTCTTCCGGGAGCCCACAGGCCTTGTGCAGCATGTGGTGTCTACGGCTTTACGATTGTGGAGTTCCGGGTTCATCGCTGTTGACGGGTGTCATGTTTGTGCTTTCAATGCATTACAAAGGAATATAGAATCCGAATGTTGATTGCCATAGAGTTGCTTTCAAGGCTGCCCTGTTCTTCAAGGGCCCTCTCTACGATGTCCAGACCAGCCCCTCCGTATCTATGAGCTGTGCTCCTGAACTAATCGGAAACCATGAGCTACAAAATCCCACTGCAGATGATGGCTACGGCTTTCTGGATGCACCGCAGCCGCTGACTGGTGTCGTTTCCGTGGCTATGCGCTGGCACCCAGCGAGGGTAGCTTGAAGCGCTGCGAGAAGCGGCGGGGAACAGTATTGGTACAAGAATGATGGACCCATCCATCATCCAGAAGGCCCAGAAGTGTGTCCACCTCATCGCTGTCATCTCGTTCGGCAGAGTATGGCCGTAATCAGCATTCGCATTTTGTATGTTGTGTTTCATATCTGGGTCTGGATGATTTTCTCGGTCAGCATAGCCAACGCAGTATTAGCATGCTGCCAAGATGCACTACACATGTCGGAGTATTTAATGCATGTTTAAGGCTGCACAAGTTTTACAAGAACCAAGCTCAAAAAGTCATAAATGTCACCAACTTAAACAGACTGTACCACAAATCGTCGTCATGATAGTGTCACCAGCACCACAAAGCAACAGCGCAAACGTGGAGTGATTAGAACATTTGTTTGGTTCTTAGTAGTGCGAATCCTTGGTCTCGCAAGGTGTCTTGTCGAGCCTAGTGATAATGTCTTCCCGGCGGCGACTCCAGATCATGCTTGCCTGGCTTGTCGATTTCCATTTGATGCATCCCGTGCCCACGTCCAGCCTCATCAGTCAGCCCGCTTTAAAGAATGCATCATGTTTGCAGAAGTGCAAACTCTAGTTTCTTGTGAAATTCCTGTCTGCATCTGGAACTCTGCGGGCTAAAACCCGAGCATGCGGTTTGGGGTCTGCAATCATCTCACTCAAAATGTGTGCCCACCCAGGTTCAACCGGAACCCGCGTGTGCGGGACAGTCCCCTGGACAGCCCAGAGCGGCCGGCAGAGTACCTGAAGCAGACACGCCAGAAACTCGAGGCCTATATCCGCCTTTGATGGATTCAACGCGGGCTTTGTTGGTTCGAGACAGGTCAAACTTCTTTTGAGCTTATTCACAAGAGGATCAGCAGGCCGACTCTTTCTCCACCACCCGACGAACGAGCGCTGAAATTGCTTTGTGAGCTTTGAGTTTAGCTTATCGTGGAGTACAGGGTAGGCCGTAGGCGCTGCAGTGGTCCGACTGTCCTGCCTACTTGTACGGGTGGCATCTACTTGAGCCCGGGGGTAAAATCATGAGACCTCTAGCTGACATGCCACGAGTGAGCTTCAGTTGTTCGAGTGACGTAGGGCTTGTCGTGTCAATGAGTCCCGGTTGCTTTGTCCTGGTGCTCCTGCGGACTGCGATGCAAGCCTCAGCACAGCCAAAGATCCCGTTCTGGGGTTCCGCGCCTTTTCGGAAAGATCAGAAGGACAGGACAAGCACAAGTGCACGCGAAAATCCTTGAAGGCAGTCCGCAAGAGCTCCAGAATCGTCGACATCACAGTCACAATCCCTAAACACTTGAAGAATGCCAATGCTCGCTGTTGACGCTTGGTCAAAACGCTACTGGTGCCTTCGTTTCAGGGCCCAGCCCGAGCCGGAAAGACTTCGGCTCCAGCACCGAACAGATCTAATGCAGAGGCGTAAATGAGTCATAGTAGTATCGACTTCAACTTCTAGACTTGTCCCTATGTAGCCATACCCTTATCATGCTCATCCTGCACCCCTCAAAACCCTTCCACAGATACCTCGACCTCACTCACATTCCAAGCCCGAATCCCTTCTGCACCTGTCACCTGTAATGGCCCCTAGAATCTCCAACCGAATACTCGTCTTTCTCCTATTGTCCGTAAAGGTCCTCAGCCCCTGAAGGCTCATAGTTCCTCTCACTCCAAGAAGCCATACAGAAGCACAGATCATAGAAACTTAAGCGTATTCTAATCTAACAGATTCATGTCATTGGTGGCCCATCAATTGGCCCGTAACCCACCAGGCCGCCCTTTTGGCCTCGGTGGAGGCATCGTCCGGGCATGCCTTAAGATTTTGGCCTTGGGGTTTGGGTGTGGGGTCGGGGTTTAGGCTTTCGGGTTTGGGGTTTAAGGTGGGCGGAAGGAGCTCGGGTTGCCAAGGCCCGTGCGAGTGGGATTCTGCACAACTAAGTTGTTGGATACTCGTGGTCATTTGGTCCGACAGTCGTTTTCGTTGTTCGGGCGGCAAGGCGGGTAAGTTTACGGTTCCAAGCTCTGGGGTGTAGGGCTCTGTGGGCTTCGGTCGTGTCTTGGCTTGGGACTGAGGCGGCTGAGGGAAGGTACGGTCTGTGACCCCTGTGAGCAAGATGGACGTTGTAAGTTAACGCCCTGTTTACGACTCTTCTGAAGACACACCCAACAGAGCAAGGCCGGTTCAGGTTGAAGCTCAAGGATGAAAATCTTTGAGGTTGAGGGAAATGCTGTTCGCCTAGCGTGCTAATCTAGGGCTCAGCTAGTTTAGGTGTCCCAAAATTCTGATAGTGCCTTTTGAGCTACGAAGGAACAAGTAGACTCTATAACATGCAGGGTTTGGGGCTTAACGTCTTGTGCTCAACCTTAGCGCGTCAGGAGTTAGTTAGTGTTGCTGATAGGTTGCCTTGATTGATGGCCTGAAGTGAGCCCCAACTCTCTCGCTTCAGATTCCGTTGGATGTTTGTTTCTTGTTTTCAGGCTACGAGGTTGTAGCTGAGAGTTTCGCGGACTTGCTAGGTCCTGAATGCCGAGATTATCATCGTTCCCGATGTGGGTTGCGGTGTTTTCGGCAACGACCCATACATCATTGGCGGCTGTGCGGGCCTCACATGGTTGACGATGATCCTTCCTAACACTGTGTGTCAGAAAAGTATAGACCTTGTATTGCATGAATGCTCAAGCGGAACATGAATCGAACCAGCTGACGATGATTTGCCCGTGGCATTCGGTGCTCTAATAGCCTCAAAACAATCATCCCAGCAGAAGCGTCGTTGGGCTGGCGCACGACAACGTACGTGTGTGACTGCCGCACAGGACGGAGAATTATCCATAGGCATACAGACAACGTCAGCGGTGATTATCTAATCTGCTCAACGGCGATACAACACGAAATGTATCATACTGTATGTTGCTGGTCAGTGGTGGTGGTGGTGGTGGTGGTGGTGGCGACGGAAGAGGAGGAGGAGAGGCAGCAGCAGCAACAGTCGAATTCGTGAATTCAAGTTGTAGAAGAAGCAGAAGCAAAGAAGACCTCGACTTGACCTTGACAGCCTTGGGCATCTTTCAGCCAAGCCCCCAACCCCAAAGCTTCCGAGCATCAAACTTATTGTGCAGAGTTTCGCCCTTGCTCTTCGAGGCCTGGGGAGCGTCTTGAGGAGGCACAGCCAAGCCATGCAGACAGTGAAGAAGGCGTGGTACGCGCGTTCAGGCTTTTGGTGCCCAAGCTTCTTCTGAACCTCTGGTAGCTTGGAGTGCAGTCGATTACGGTGCCTTCACGCCACATTCACGCCACGCACCACGGAAACACCCTTCAGGATTTAAAACGGTTCCTTGCTCTCCTAGTACCACCCTTCTTAAGCTCCGAACGGTCTCGAGTCTGGAGCATTCTCGGAAAACTGCAGACTTTCCGTTTCTCTCCCTCAAGGAGCTGAACCCTCAACCATGAAGCCATCATTCTAAACCTACGACACCAGATCCATGGAAAAGCCTGTATCTTGAAGAGTCGTTTCGAAAACGACTCTTCCCAGGCGGCCCTCTTTAGGGCTTCGGGGTTTTGAGGATCAAGCTGTTAATGGTAGAGCTTTCAGAGCTTCAGGCTTTAAAGTGCGCAGGCCCAGGCCCTAGGCGTGTCTCGGGCTTGGGGCGTAGAGCGACAGGTCGTTCTCACTGGCCGGCGTGAAGACTTTTCGGATGCCTGCCTGCGAGCGCTGCAGGGCAAGGACTTTGTGGGTTTCATGCGTGTTCATTTTGTTTTGCCTTGTTTAACTCACTTCCATACAACTACGTTTTACTTTACTTTTTGGATTATCTTTTCCGTCTTGTAGGTGTCTTATTCACCTTCTCACTGATCTTGTCCCTACCGTTTCCTCTCGTACAACCTGATTATAGCGCAATGTAGTTGTGTCATGAAAAAAATTACGTGCGAACTAGTTTCAGCCTGAAACAGATCTTTGCGCGTTTGAATATCAGAATCCACATCAAAGCCAACAGCTGCTCACAACCGCGAATTCCCGCCACCACGAGCAGGTACATCATGACAATCGATACTCTATCAATATCGTCGTACATGTTCTTGAGCTGATATCGCCATGATGCTTTTTCATCACCCAGTCACACCGGTGTGTCCAATCCACTCTGAGTTGCTGTCAATTGTGCATATGCAAGGGGAGATACCAGGAATTGTAGGTTTCATGATGCAAACGTCTGTGGTTCTTGAGGCGTTTGTCGCCTTTCAAGCTCTGTCTTATTTCAGCCCCAAATGCAAGTCAGGCAAGGCGACTAAACACAGTCTACAGCCACAAAGCAAACTCACGGCAAAATCCGCAAGCCCTCGACACCCAAGCAGCATACGAGGCCTCTGAAACTATAAGGCCTACTTCGACCCCCAGTTAGAGCCCAGGTACTTCGCTAGAGATCTCCATCATTGCTGGTGCTTTTTGGGGTTGCTGGGTCAGCCCTATGTCACTTACCGACATGAGCCCTGACTTTCCTGAAGGATCCCCGTCCCTTGTGCCCTGACTCCGGGGCTGGTGCACACGCCGCCCGCTATCGCAGTGCAGCGACAGCAGAGGCCCGACATCCAATGCAAGGTTCGGACACGGCTTAGTGTATGGGGTGTCCGCTGAACTCCATTATAGCAGGTTGAAAGTTTCCTTCCGTGCAGTCAGGGATCCACATTGTGCATCTCGTGCACTTGATACAGTTCTACTGACACAGGCAAGTCGCGTCCGGATTCGTACTAGAGGGTCGTAAGCGCCGAACGGGTTCGGGGGTGTGGGTCCCACGTTGGTTCCCCGGAGAGGCTTCAACAGCTTGGGGCGTAGAAATGGGGTAGCAGATGAACACTCTACGGAATGTCGCTGCAGGATATGTCAGGGACTAGGCCCTGATGCTTAAGCCACATATAAATAGAGACCGCCCAGCATTGCCGGCATAAGAAAAAGCGAGGGGGTAGCATAAGACAAGTATATCGCCGTCCGTATACGCATTTCCAGAACAGGTCAACCCAGGAATCTCGAATGGCGGCCTGGGATCGAAGCACAATCCGCCCACACATGAAATCCTGTTCACTGATTCCTGCAGGGCGACGCTAGCCGGAAGCTTAACGTGCCGGGGGTTGAAGCCTGCAAGTAATGAGTGCTTCGGTGATTGTTTTGTGCGCGTATCTGCTGCGTCCGGCTGCCATCCGAAGTGACTGTCTTGCATCCCTCAGAATCCCTAAGGTGATCCCAGCGTCGTGGATGAGGCTTTGCTGCAGCTCGCGTCGGGTACTCAGACTCCACAGTTAACAGTGAACGGCACTTGGTATCTACGGAGTTTGGGGGTCAGTCCAGCTCCTTTTCATGATTGCAGGCTGCCTCTTGCAGACCCTCGGCCAGAATCGTGGAACATGGTAGTGCAGCCTTATGGTGTTGGCCCGAATATGTGAATACCCCCCGACTTAAGACTGAACAGAGGGACATAAAAGTAGGATTGCTGGCGGCAAACCGCTTGGTTTCTCAGGTTGCATCCTCCAGAACAGGACGAGAGAAGTAAGCATCCGTGCCGCTACGGAGCATCCTGCCACTTGTTCGCAGATCAGAGACTCGGCTTTTTTTAAAGGCCATGTCGTGCATGACGTGAAGCAAGATCCACTACGTGCCAGTCCGTGCCTATCGAAGGGGTTGACTCTGAACTGGAGTTTTTATGTCACCACAGGTCTTTGGTCGCTAACCTGCCTGCAGACACCCCGTGAAGGTCACATTCGCACGCCAGACCACCTCGCGCGAACACCAGCCACGATTGCTGCTGCATGTGATGGCTCTTTTTGTCAATTTGTTGGAGCTCCAGATATCGTGTTGTTGTTCGTGTTCGTGATCGTGGTTGTTTCGAGGTTGTGTTTGCTGTTCATTGCGGGGTGGTCTAGTTTTGGCCGGGTGCAAATTTCGGTGTGGTCGCAGTGGTTTGTGGTTGTTGCTGCTGCTGCTGTAGTTTTTGTTGCAGATGGACTGGCTCTTCGGACTTCGGGTTCTGACCAGATGTTGATGTGCAGGGTCCACATATGTGGCGACGGAGCCAGGCAGGTAAGGATGGTTCCCTGAAGTGCAAGTTTGGAGCCTTGAGTCGTGCCTTCGTGGCCCAGGGGCATGAAGTGCAGCATTGGTGCACTAGACACTTCTTCAAGTCCGAAGCTTGCTACGATCGTCTTCCTCTATATATCCTTATGGGATCAGTCGCTATAGAATGAGCATGCTTGAATCCTCGTACCATGTATCCCAAGCCCGAGCTCTTCATCACATTCTGCTGTGGCCAGGATTTTCACATCCGGAGACAGGCCCAGGACCCTCCAGGCCAGTTGGGGATGGTCGGGCCATGACAGAACAAAGCGCGCAGGAACGTTTGGAGGAAGCTTGAAGATCCGCTTTCGATTTCACCCTGAAAAATTCCTGGTGTCGGCATGAAGGCGAGGGGCAGGCCAAGAAAACGAAACTGTGCTTTGGGAGTTGTGCTTGACTATCCTGGTTCTGCACAGTGTGTCTTCGTCGCTGCAAGATTAGGACTTTCCAGTGGAGGTTGAAGTGGTATGATTGGGGAACTATCTCCAAGCTCCATGCCACGAGATGTTTCCGTACGAAGTCCAGAACTTGTGTGATGAATCCCAGCTTCCGTGTACTTCATTGTCTCACTCCCAAAACCCCCTGCCCCCCCCTACCCATCCAAAAAATGAAACGGATCCCCCAGCAAGCCAAACTTTTGCGAATTGGCTTTCCACATGTCAACGTGGCTTGTACGCATATGCCACACGATTGCTTGGCTGTGCATTTTCAGAGGATTCTGTGGCTGGTTCCGCCATGTCGTTGAGATCGTTCATGATGTGTTTTCGTGTAGGTACACTGCACATGGCAGCAAGTCAAGATTATACTGCATGACATGCCAGTCTTTCTGCATCAATGACATGAACTACGGAATGCGCGATTTCCTGGCTGGCTGACTGACTGCCTGCTTGACTGACTGCTGGACTGCCTGCTCAACTGACTGACGGACTGACTGACTGCCTGGCTGATTGATGAACTGAAGGTAGGTAAAGAGATGCATACACAACTAATGCCATTAAACGTCATGTGTGCAGAAAGATACCCGTTCGTCTACAGTTCTATGTCTCCAATCGCTCTCTTCGAGGTTCAGAAACCGTAGGTACTTACGCTGCTTTCTGTACTTCGCATATACTGACCTCTACTTTTGGTGCTTGTCTGTGGTATATATGTAACCACCCCAAACCCACACCAGAATCTGGTTCTGCGCCTGCACACATTGCAAGCAACCTTGAGCCCTTTTCAATTAAGAAGGACACAGGGGAGCTCGATTGTTTCTCCATGGTTGGCGTCTGTGGTTGGCTTCAGTTTTCTTTCATTAGAAATCCTCTCCCATCGCGGAAACACCAGAAATCTCCTGAGTCCCATATCAGTGGCCAGAACTCAGCGAGCTCTTTTCACCTGCCAAGGTGACCCTATGATCGAAGGGTGTGTCCAGCTTCGTTTGTTTACTGATGTGGAATCTGACAAGGCCTCAGCGAACACAGGAGCAAGGACCAAGCGAAGATTCTACATAAACGATATGTAAGCACATCCGTATACCTCTTATGCTTCGTGCAACTGGGGACAACTACATCTGGAAAGCATCAAATTTCACTAAAACTGTTCAACCCACTCACATAGTCGCACAGATTTTGTGAAATAGGGTGACATTTGATCCCTGTCGATGTGTTCGCATGTTCAGTCTTCAGGAGTATTGGGGAAGGTTGATCCGTGCCAATGTTTTCGCATCCGAGGTTGCCGAAGTGCCTCCAGGCTCAACACTACAGTATGCAAAATTTGTAAAGCCTGAAATGCGAAAACATTGGAAGCAGCAAATATCCCAAAATTCGTAAAATCCTGGCATTACGGGGCCATATTAATGTGGAGTTGCCAAAATTTGGGAAACTTGATCCTGGGTGATGTTTTCACTACAGGAGTTTTGGGAAATTTGATCCCTGTTGATGTTTTCACATACATCTCGGGCTTCAGGAACTTTGCAGAAACTTGATCCCTGCTGAGGTTGCCCACGTCCCATGAGCCACTGCCTACAAAAGGAAAGCTGGGGTGGATAACGGGCTGGGCGTGAGCGTGAGCGTATCCATGATCCCGGGTCCGGGGCTACTACACCCCCGCCTCACAGCGAGGTAAAACTGCCAACAGTCGCTGAGTTTGGACTTGTTGGTGTCGCATTTCCCCTGACTCTCGCAAGTTTTCCAATGCCGGGCAAAATCTCGTGTCAAACATGGTGGCACGTAGTCGTAATTTGCATGATGGTTGTGGTGGGGGGGGGGGGGGGGGGTAGGTCGCAGACACGATGTTTAGCACCGGAACAGAACCCATTAACCAAACACCACAGGGAGAAAGGAGACAACGGGTGATCACCGCGTGCACTAGAGCGAAGGCTATACCGCGGCCACAAGGCCGTCATCCGCAACGGAACAAGCCGCAAATTGAAAACCGATACATCTTAGTTTGTGTAGTAGCACTCACAACACGGATGACGATACTACTGACAAACAGATAGCTCCGTGCAGGCCTACAGGGCCCACAGGCGTAGGTGCGGGGACTTCTGCTGCCCGCGGTTTACCCGTGCGGGGGCCTCGATTTCGTGTCAGGTTTAGGACTTCGATGGGTTGGCGATTTAATTGGTAGGGTTGAAAAGCTTGACAAAGCTTTTGTGGTGTGCGCTTACATTGTGGACATGTCTTATAAAGTCAGTTGCTGTGTTTGCACAGCGCTTGGGGCGTATGATGGCAGGGTTAAGATCGTGAATGCCTCGTAGTTGGGCTTCCGATGTCAGGTGTTCGTTCTGCAGGTTTGGATCTTCTTTCTTGCTGTTAGAGCGACATGCCCGGTAGTGCAAGCTTGGCTTCGGAGCTCCATCCGTCGGGTTCATTGACGGCGATGTTGCTGTTGGCGCAGTCTCAGGTTCCAACTCGACCATAACTCAGTTCTCCAACACACTGTCCTAGAGAAAGAAGCGCGAAAGACACACCTCGACGAATCCCAGGTATGCATTCATATGTAGACTCTGGCCCCTGACCGGGCAAGCAATTTCCATGTCAAAAACCATGCACGGTAGCCTGAAATGAGCCCCCAGGCCCTAAACCCTAAACCCCTAAACCGCCCAATCCTATACCTCTTCGTTTCCCAGAGACAGGACTGGCAGTAGGGAGCCTTCCGGTGCCGCCGGGGCTGCGGGCCGGACGCCCCTTGGTGAAGTTGAGTTCCCCTAAACCCTAAACCCTAAACCCTAAAATAAGATCCTATAAGGGTTTCGGGATTGGGGGCTTATGTTTTCAGGTTTGGCTGCAGATAGGTACTATAGTGGTTATGGTCGCGGCGTTTGGGCGTTGGTTCTAGTCTAGACTCTTCTGAACTCTGGATCTGAACCGGAGCTGCTGTTAAGGTACGTAGACGTAGACTCTGATAGTAAAGCAGGTTCTTATCGCCACGGTGTACAATCGCAAAAACAAGGTTCGTTATGCATTGCCGTATACGAATGAAGGCAAGACAAGGCTTGGCTTGAGTTTGCAAGCAAGCACCATCTACTTGCACAAGCAGCCCTAAATTTTGGCGAGCTTGAAGCTTGGGCGTAATCTTCAGCTTGAGGGGCGAGACGTCGAGCGTGAACTTGCCCGAGATTCTAAGCATTATAATAACCTTTAAGCAAGCGTTGGTTTGATCCATGATGGGCGCTAAAGTCGGTCGCCTGTGCCCGGAAATGTCTGTATGTGTGTGAGAGACTGTGGGCGTTGGTAGACGGATTGACGGGAGCCTCTGCGGGCGATGTGTTTTTTCCTGCAAGAAGCCTCCAAATTCAACAGATACATCTTGATAGACTTTCCGATGCGCCACGAGTAGAAGTAATTTTATCCGAATGAGGCCTGGAAGGTGCCCCTGCTCCAATGGCTCGCAGATGCAGAAACAATGCAATGTTGTCGCTAGCTTCAGAGACTTCTGAAGCAACGGACATTCGGTGAATCAGAGTCAGCCCACACCAGCTCCATATCCATACTTGTTGCACCCGAGACGTTGAGACGGACCCGAAGCCAAGGACGCTGGGGACCAAAGTTGTACCCACACGTCCGAGGACGCTTAGACTGCATGGGCCGCAAGTTGAAATCCCACAGAATCCAAGGATGACTTTCCCTATGTGGGCTTGCCTCAGACTCGTCGGATCCGCTCACAGGCAAAGCCCTTGCCATCCTAAGCCATTAACACTGTCCATCCCGAAGCCCGGGTCCTGCTAGATCACGTTCCTACCATTTCCTACCTCCTGTATAAGACTCTCTAAGCCTGATGAGCCGAAGCCGTGTTGAACTCTGTAAGGCCCAGCTTTATCGAGCCTCCTAACCCAAGGCTCAAGCGCCGCAAAAACTCAAAACCGTTGTCGTGTCATTTTTGGATTAACAGTCTCTGCGCCCAAATCCCACGAGCCTCCAAGCCCTGAGCCCGAATCTGGGTCTTTAGACGGCGACCTCGGAACACCTCCTAAATTCTCTTTGAAAGCCACGAAGAGCTCACCGCTCGCCAGGAGCGCCCACGACAAACCGAGCGACCCCACTCCGACGGGCACCTCCGGCCTGGCGGAGGCAGGAGCCATAGGAAAACCATCGAGGGTCCAAGGTTTCGTCGCTACTGAAACCATCACCGGTCCAAAACTCCAAAGGCCTTCACGAGCATCGTGCGATATCGTGGGCATTTTGTCGGGGGGGGGGGGGGGGGGGGGGAATGCTTCAGAGAGTGATACAGTGTTTCGACACCCCCAGGAGTACGAATTCCCCGGTCCGATTTAGGCTAAGTTGGGGATATCATGCTTACATATACCTAAATGCACTCGTGTCACCCCATCAACCATAGATGTTTCAATGCTTTTATCACGGTTCCGAATAGTTAGAACACTTCGATTAAACTTAGTACCATTCCAATATTGCCCGCGCGAGAATTTCCCCTGTTCCGATCAATTTCCCGTGTTCCGATCATCAGCTTTGCAGTATGAGATTTTGATTGCGATCAGACATGAACGGTACCAACAACTCCTTGCATAACACACCGCCCGACCGACAACAAGGGCAACCACTGACAGAACAGAAGCCCAATGTTTTGCTCAACGATATCGAAAACACTCGCAATGGCAGCAACAGTTGCCCCAACCCAATAATACATTGACCTGACCACGCAGAAACAAACATTGGTAAGAAGTAAGACAAGACGAGACGAGAACAAATGCAACAGCCGACCACGACAATCATCGGCAACAGAAGCAAACATAGTTAACCCGACAACACTCACGGCAACAACATCAACAACAACAACAACAACAGCAACACCCAGAGCAGCAGCAACAAAAACAACCCGAACACCGACAGCAAAATACAACGAGTACGACGACCACGACCGCAACAGCAGCGACGACGACAAGTAGTGGAGCTGCGAAGCCTCGGACACCCGAACCCAATCTAAGTAGACTTGCATCGCCGCCCTGCCGCAGCTCCCGAGCGAAGTACGCCGGGCCGAGACACCAAATCCCGACATCACGAATCCCGTGGCCGGAGACTTGGAAGTCGTCTTCGTACTTGTGAAGTCACGATGTCGGGGTCCGAATAGGTCCGAACTCCAAATTTGGCTGTGCCCGTTGCTTCGGTCAACTACCAAGAGCTTAGAGTTCAGTACTTTGAATTTGGGGTACCGGCGTTCGTCAGTTGCATATCAAGTCGGTCCCTACGCTATGCCCGCGGGCCGAGTTAAAATCGGTTGTTTGTTCAGGAATCGGGCTACATAGCTTGTTGCGGATCGAGGGCTCGGAGTGTGCGTGACTTGGTGTAAATAAAGTATGGAGACCTGCTGAAAGTAAATGGTTTGCCTGTGGTATGGAATGCCACAGTACGTCATGTTGGTAGCCCCAAAGTGGAACAGAGTTTGGAACAGCCCTCAATCCATACAAAGTTGCAAATTGCAACAGTAATTAGCCGCAGCTGCGCTGTGTGCTGTACACTGATTCTCACAATCTCGCCCAGATACCTGGGGTGCTAGAGTATTCAACGGCTTTGTCACTCTATAGTTGGTGCCGGTGCCTTCCGGCCATCGGCAGCCCTGCAGCCTTGTTAAGCTTGCAGCGCTAAGGCTTGAAACTATCAGAGCCGCCAACCGTACGATAGCCCTAGAGTTAAATCCCATGCCACGAAACACTGACTCATGATTGAGCAAAACCGCACCCATGCGACAGAGCCCCAAGTTGAGTTGAGATCATACACCTTGGAAGCTTCAAGCATGAACACACAACCCCGGAACCAAAGCCCTTGACCGCGAGCCCTGGAAGCTTGAACCTGGAACCCAACACCACTTCGATCTGGATCTGCCCGCTTCTGAATGCTGATGCTTCAGAGCAGTCTGCACTCAGGTGGAAGACACAGGTGGGAGCACTTCTTCAAGAAGCGGTCGGCCTGTCTGTCGGTATGGCGAGGTGTCGTGGTTTAGAGATCGCAGCGAATGGGGTGTCGAATTGGTTTCGGATATCATTACGGAGGCGTGCTTCGATTGTCTGTTCGATTTATGGCTTGACCTGTACTCGTATGCACGGCTATCATTCTTCACAGCTTTACCCTTCAGAGCTTGACTGCTAAGATGCACTAGTTAAGGTTCACTCGAAAGTACCTCCATATCTTCGCAACGAGTTCTACCAGCTAGGTTCATTTCTAGGATCTTTGTTGGCCTTTGGGAGGACACCTGTTTCAAGGCGTTTCGCAATGTTACGGCAAGACGGTTCAGGCTACAAGGGCATACAACTTGTGGCAAGGAATGTTGTGGTCTGTCGGACAATCGAAATAGATGAGCAACGGCTAGCAGTCCAATCAGGTAGCGCTGGACACCTACATTCTATGACAGTCAGTTGACTGTTCCTAGCACAAGTCACTGGCATGCAAAGGGGCCTCTCCATGGGCCTGCAAACTAAGTCCGGCATCCTTCTGCAGTGATTCTTGCAGTTGATGGCGGTATAGAGTTCAGGTCAAGGGATTGCTCGCGTAATCTCGTGTCGTTGCACCCACTGAGCTTCTTGCAATTTGCGGTGTGCCCCCTTATCCAACAGACCCCAAACCGAAAGCTGTGTCCCGAAGACTCCGAAGCTCCACCCCGAGGCTTTGCAAGAGTTGCTGCAGCACCTTCCCTGGAGTCAAAACCTAGACGGCACTAGAGCCATTAAGAGTCAAGATCGGCACACTTGCATTTGCAGTCCTAACCGGCTAGGTTTTGACTTCTTACGAACGCAGGGCAGGACAGATCCTTCTGCACAACGCATTCTTAAGACATGGCCGTACTTTTCGTGTCAAGGCCGGTGGAAATCAGGCCAAACCAGCTTGCCTCTTGACAACCAGCAAGCCTTCTTCCCAGAGCCGGTTCTCGAGATCTGAAGCCGGGCAAGGCATGCTACAACAACAACCCCAAGCACTTGGCCGAGTTCTCGCAGCTGGGCAGAATGGAGTTGAAGGGATTTGGTGCAGGAGCCTTCCTGCCAAAAAAACCTTCTACAACATAGCATACAACCCAAGCCCCAAGCGCTCGAGATGAAGTCCGACTGCATTGCCTGAAATGAAAGCCTACACCAACAAATCTTGCAATGCACAAGTATACCTGTCGGGTACATGGCAGTATACTTGCGGGTAAACTGGAAAGGGAGCCTGCTGAATGTCGATAGCTGGATCTGTGCTTCAAGGATTGCCTGAACGGGCAACTGGTCGGCCATATACTGGCTGCTAGGCTCCATGCAAATCCAGCAGAAAGCCCTCTGCATGACATATGGGCGTTCCGAAACGGTGGCAGCACGACGGCATAAGAATTTCTCAACACGGAGTTTTACCCCCAAAAGACCCGTAGACCCCAAGCCATGACCCAAAGACTCTCACCTTATGCTCTGCATGTTAGGCACCCCTGGCTCGACGGAGAAACCGATCGCCAGGCCAGACTTAGCACAACAAGTCGCATGTGTGCCTCATGCGACGAGAGAGACAGAGCTTGAGGTTTGGGTTTAGGAGCTGGAGTTTGACTGCAGAGCCAAAAAATCTGGGTGCAAACAGGCATATGTGTGTGTGTGTATGTATGCAAGCATGCATGCACGTATGTATGTATGTATGTATGTATGCATGCATGCGAATGTAGGTATGTATGTATTGATTTTTTTATTTATGTATGTATGTGTGTGTACGTACGTATGCATGTATGTGTATGTGTATGTGTATTCGTATGTATGTATATGTATGTATGCATGTATGTATGTATGTATGTGTGCGTATGTAGTCATTCATGTAGGTACGCATGTATGTATGTGTATGTGTATGTGTATGTGTATGCGTGTATGTATGTGTGCGTCTACGTGTACGTGTATGTGTATGTATGCTTGTACATATGTATCTGTGTGTGTGTGTGCGTATGCATGTATGTGCGGATGCATCTGTGGATGTATCTGTGCAACAGTAGATACGTACCGACTTGTATGCATGTGTGCCTACATACATGCTCGTGTGTATTCAGATATGAGCCCTTAATGCTCTTTGTGAGTTCAAATACCCCAGCAGCAACCAACTTCGCACATTCAATCGTGCATGGACATAATTGCTGCTCAACTGTTCGTGCTATGGTAACTTTGCCAGCGCTAGGTTTCTTTGTTCGTTCCTGCATGTTCGCACTGACTTCTCTTTGCCTGTTTGTCGATCACTACTTTTGTGTATGTATAAATTCATACATATATATATATATAGATAGGTAAGTACATACCTAAATAAATGGTTGTAAGTATGTACTAGTATATATTATATATCTGTATAATATATATATATATATATATATATATATAATAGTCATATACAGATATATGTAGAGAGATACAAAGATGGCACCGTCTGTATTGATGTAGACAGTCTTGTCATAATGTTTTTAGCTGTTTGCCGCTTGCGCTTCAGCCGCTGTAATATAATGCCAATCTGTGGGTTGATATGTTTGCCCATCTCTATTTTGTTTGCTTAACGCCTCGGCTGCTTTGGAATCAACATTTTGTGTTTTGATTCTTCCTGGTTTCAGAAAAGTCTAGTGCCTGAAGCTGCATGAGGGTATGCCGTCGGTGCCCCCCGAGTGCAGAACCTCAAGAATAAACTCGAAGCCCGCTTCCTCCGTACACTCAATGTGGAGTCGGTAGAGCATATAACTTTGTTTCAAATCCCAAGCCCCGAGGACCAGAACCGCAGACTCGCAACCCCTCGCAAAACTCGGAGGCTCAAGCGCGGCGAGACCAGCAGGACGACTTCAGGTTTTGGATTTCAGGCTCAGAGTTCCAAGCTTTAAAGCTTGAGGGCGTAGTATTCGTGAGCATCCATGGTGAGGCGTACTGCACTGTTGAACAGGCGGTCTCGAGAATTGCAGCACTTCTTTGCTGGCTTGGTCGTTCTGTGAGGTGCCAGGGCCAGTGGCGACAAATATGCCCTCATTAAGCATTCCAGTATTCGTGAGAGCAGGCCACCCAGGGAGGGAAGCTTGTCACAGTCCATTGTGAGCTCCGGTTCAGCTACGGGTGTGCAGCGCGGGCCGTGGCTCGTGCAAGTATTCGCCTCCATATGTCCAGACCCATTCTAGGTATCGATTCGGTCGTATATCATCGTAAAGCTAATGAAGAAACGTGTTTAGGATCGTGTATTCTTCCAAGATACATCGGTCACTCTGGGAACGGCTTAGTTGCAGTCCAGCGCAAGTCTCGCAGATCCCTGAACACTAAGCGGCAAACTAACCGAAAACTCAGCGAAAGGATTGCCATGACCTTCTGAACAAGGCTAAGGCCGGACGAGTTCTTTGGGGTTTACAGGCCCATGGAGGGTTCCAGGTTCAGGGACCTGCAGGGTGAAGGGGTGCTGCAAGGCGTAAAGTGTCTCTCGACCCGGACAGAGACTTGAGGCCCGGAAGGGTTCAGAGTTTCCCGTTACCGTCAAGCACTAACCCACACTTCAAAGAAAGGACCTTACTTCTTTTCTGTAATGCGGGCAATGTAACAAACCCAAGGCCCAGCACCCTAGACCCCAGACTCAGCACCCGAAACTGGGCTTGAGGTTCAGAGGACCTGACGACGTAGAGTTTCAGGGTGGCCCGCAGGCTTTAAACACCTAGACTCGGTCAGAGGTTCAGGATGTTGCGCGTTTCGCCTACTCGTAGGACTTCTAGGATGTTGCAAAGTATCATGAAAAAGTTTCTGGTCTGAAAACCTCTCGGCTTCGCGAAAGCTGTTTTGAGCTTTCGACCATTGACCCTGTGCCCACAACCCCCTTATCTTTTCTGCATATCCGAGCCCTTCAAGCCTTACACGCGAACTGCTCGCAAAAAGGTAAGGATCCAAAGGGTGTGCACATAGCCCTAGCTGCGCACAGTACACTGTGTGAACTCGCCATCCAGAACTCGGAAAATGCCTCCAGCAACGATGGCTCCACGACGAGACCACCTTTGTCGGCAACTGCAACACCGCGTATCAAAACCACCCTGGCGCCCCATTTCAGCCTGCACTTCTGCTAAACCGGCATGCTGTGGGCCCAACAAGCCCTTCACGAGGCAAGTTCCTCGAGTCACAGGTGCAGCTGAAGCCGGAGCCGTAGGGCAACTCACATAAGTATTAAGGCTAGCTCGAGGATGAAGACTATTTGTGAAGCGTTGACGCCGTCTTCCCCGATCCGACGGCTTCATAATCTCTCCAGGCAGGCACTTGGGAACAAGTTCAATCTGGTCTGATACGCAACCCGCGACTGCTGGCCGCTGCCTCGGAGGTATGGGTTGTTTGTGGAACTCGGCATGTGGCATCTGGGGTCCAGCACAGCAACTTGGGTCCCTTTTAACCCATCCTGCAGCTATTTCGGGGATTCTTGTTCCCACCGTCAATCCTTGCTGTTGCTTCGATTTTGTCTTCCGTGTTCATGCGGGGGGCAAAGCTCAAAATCGGATGCGGAGTTGAACAGCCCTATACACCCCGGACCGTAAACCGAAACCACAAACAGCCTCGCGGGTGGGTTACTGAGCCTCGAAGATCATGAAATGGTCGGTTTTCGACATGTTGGAAAGCGGAGGGTTTTTGCACTGTCAGCCGGTGTTGTCGAGATGCGGGCGGTGTGTTTTCCGGTGTTCAGGGTTACGTGGGTTTCGTTGAACCTCTAAGTTCGTTTTTGCTCTGTGTAGACAGCACCCTCGGCTAAAGGCTACAACCCAATCGAGACTTAAGCATTCTAGACAATAAATTAAAGGTGCTTCAAGCTCTAAAGCACCTAACACTAAGGGCTGCAATCCCGTCGAAATCAGAGCATTATTTAGCCTAAGCTGCTCCAAACTCTAAAACACCTAATGCTGAAGGCTACTTCAGGGTTCAACGGGTTGGAGTTCTGAGGTTCAACAACAACCAACCGCACTTGGTTGACTGTCGATTGCGAGAGATAGGACGCCTACATCCTTAATGCTGCCAATCCGAAACCCTATTTTGGTCCTAGATCCGAAACGCCCAATCTCAGGACATGCGGCCGGAATCCCGGAAGTTCGCGTTGATCCACTATGCCCGCGGCCTAGGATTTGGTGGTTTTCAGTGGCACAGAGGATCGCCGGAAATTCATTGTTTAGGGCAAGGGTTCCGTGTATGTCCAGATTCATGTTCAACTACTTGTTGAGAAAGTTATCGCTTCCAGACATTTGCATTGGCTTGAGGTATCTTGTAAACGTTTGAGGATCCTCAACATTGCAACTCGTGTGGACGGTGTTTTTTGCTCCTCAAGCAGATCTCTGCAGTATGCGTAGTTGTCCTGAAGGGGCATTCATCGTCCTTTTTCCAGACTGTTTGCCACATCCCCCCCAAGGCCAAAACAGGTTTCGGTCGGATCCCTTATGCGGACGACTAGTCTTGATCATTTGTAGGGGGTCATGCATTGCGAGGCGATGATGGAGTTTTTTGTTTTATGTGTGGGTGTGGGTGTGTGTGTGTGTGTGTGTGTGTGTGTGTTTGTTGGCACATGTTCGGTTTAGGCTTTTGTGAATGTCTGGGTCGAGCTTGACAAGCTTCATGGGAAATCGGCTGCAGGGGTTCAGGCGGGTTGGTGTCTGCCAGGGTGCTTCGCCCCACGAAACTTGGGGAGGCACTTGTACATGGATATAAGTGGTTCCAAGCCTAAACCTCTTCAGCGGAATGAGGACCCGTTGGACCTGTTTATTACTCTATCGAGGTTGAAGTCAAATCCCAAGCCCAGGGACTTACACGAAGTAGCTCGATACAATGAGCCCCGGAGCATCCTCAAGCTGAAAGGCCCCCAGTGAAGACGATGCTTTCGAAGGGACCACAAGCGACGCTTACTGTGCTGGTTACTACCTGCGACCACCACACCTCCTTGAGTGGGCCTGTGGACGTGTGGGCGAGGATTGCAGGGCTTTAGGTTGAAGATTCGGGTGTGCGGAACTTCGCAGGCTGGAGGGATGGACTAGCCAAGTGGCCTCCTGTTTGCAGACATGGTCGGAGTTCTAAGCATCCTAGTAAAGTGTATGATTCTGCTTATTACTCATCATGACAGCTAAGTACAAAAAGAAGGTACCCGTAATTTCGATCAAGCGCCATGCTGACACTGCCGGGCCTCACTTTTCTGGTCCTGGGTTTAAGGGTTCAGAAAGCCCACGAGGCCGCCTTCCAATTCCACCTGGGAGCCCTGGATATGCTTCTGAAGTTGGGGGCGGACCCCAACCTCAAAAACCAGGACCGGCTTGGCTTTCTGAGCCTTTGCAGGGGTTGAGGCTGATAGGTTGGTTACGTGGACCGGTCGTGTGTTGGCATGTTCAATGTTGGGCGAGCCTATCGGTCAAATTGTCGAGTACTTAGTGGTGGGAGTTATGCTTCGCGCTTTGTCTTGGGCTTCGGGCTTGTTTGTCAAAATGCAAAGCTTTGTCCCTGCATCTGTCTTCACCTGCAGCAGGATGGCAAAACAGCTCTGGAACTCCTGAATTCTGAGCGCAAGGTGCGCGATGCAGGGTTTGATGTGAGGGCCGAGGGATTAGTTGTTTCTCGGGTTGCGCTGGCGAGATGGAAGGCTTTGGTGATCCTGGACGTTTCGAGCTGGGTGATTTCGTGTGATCTGGTTGAGGGAGTCTGTCCGTGGATGATATTGAAAACGTTCAGGTTAGAGAGATGTGGTCTCGTGGAACTGTGAGAAATAGAGAGGGATGGAGCGAAAATGAGACTGCGAGAGACTTCAGGTCTGAATGCGTATGTACGTATATGTATGTATGCATGCATGCTCTTTATATATACATATAAGCATACGCACACACACTGTCAGGGAAGCCGAGGAGAACATAAACGGCATGCGATCATATCTGAGGCTTGCCTTGTAGAGTTTTCTGTTCCATAATCAGCGTAAGAAGCAGCCAGCAGCAGCTCGTTTGTCATGCCGGATGCTCCGGCTTGGGCTCAGGCGTGTCATAGGAGCTGAGGCAAGATGTATGGTTGAGTCGAGAGCGTCATAAGATACGAGGGGAACTACTTGGGCCCAAGCAGACCACAAAGAATCTGGCTTTACAGCACTCATGTGCAGCTACAGTAGCATTGTACATCCGATTTAATGCGGCTGCAGAAGTCCAAAGCCCAAGGAGCCTGTAAAGCCTAAACCTAAACTCTATAGGACAGCTTCCACCTGGTCCAAGCCAGGCGCTCCCTGTCCACGACGTCAAGCATCAGAAGATGGCACAAGACTGCCTGTCAGAAACTCGGAAAGACCAAAGACGTTTACAGTACCTGCTGGTATCAAGGCGGAAGACCATGAAGGGTCCATAGTCGTTGGGTACGAAAAAGTTGGTACACAACATGAGCTGTCGTAATGCGGAGACTATGGACCCCAGTCTCCGACACAGGGTTTCCCATCCCGAATTCCATCCTCAGTACCCATCCCCCCATGGCACGGCATTTTAGCAGCGAGCTGAAGAGACTGTGGAGGACAAACTTTGCATTGCCTGTCGTACCTGTGGAGTTTAATTTGCAACTGATTAGAAGCTGGAGAGCACAGCGGATTCAATACCCCGACCAGCCCGAGGAACACACTTCTGAAGCCCTCGGGTGTGGCATTCTCCAAGGTTGCGTCTCCGCAGGTATGACACGCCTGCCGGCAGAGCGCCTTTGGGCAAAGGTCGGCGGGCCAGGGGTTTTCGCAGGGCTATAGAAACCCTAGCCAGCAAGCGAGTGGCTGTCAGTGATGGGTTTCCGTTTCTGTTCGTATTGCTTCGCTTATAATCTGTCGTTAAGCTGAAGATCGGCCATGGGAAATTGGAATGAGGGAGTTTGTGCTTTGGCCTTCATGGGCTGTCTCCGAGCAGCAAAAGCCGCCACTTGCTACTGTTCGATCCTTAACATATCCTTCGCATCAGGCGATATGGGCGCTTGAACAGTTCAACTGTACTGCGGCAATACGAAGAGACAATCAGACAGTGTAGTGGCATAGGATCCCGTATAGTCAGAACCACTTGAAGGAACACTTCCGTGCAGTTGTCGTCGTCGTCGAGGTAGTGGTAGTGGCAACGGTCGTCGATGTGGTGGTATAGGCATCCAGCAGTCTCATACATCCACTGAGTGCATGATAGTGCATTTACTTACGATCATTGCTATTGCTGTCCTTTGCAGGTTTACTGTTTGATGTTTTTGCACCAGCAGCTTGGCCGGGGTTTTGCAGATGCTCCCGCCGAAGGGACCTGACCAAGCACGGATTCGTGGAGTCACGATGGAAGCAGCCTCAGCCTGAAGTGGCTGAAGTGGTTTGTGCCGATGTTGATGCTGGAGTGGACAGTCAGCCCAGCGAGCCCAGCGATTTTTTTGAGTAAGGGTCTTTTACCCAGGCTGCCATGCTGCTTGATGTTTGTGCATGCCTTCATGAAGACCAGCCGAAGTCCATAGCTGTATGCCGGCCGTAATAGCACAGGACCGCTCGAACACAATTCAAGAAGCCCTTGAGGTCGATTGGAGCCTGTGCAATTGCATGTTGAAAGGAATTTTGGTTTCCTTCCGGGGTCTCTAGCATCAGGATCATTACAGTTCCGGTCTGTGTCAGAGTTGTTTTATTCCCGGGAACTGCTCATACGAGAGTTGAAGCCAAGCAGTGACTTGGATATTTGCGTGCGCTTAGGCTGTTTCTGTTTGTCAATCGCACTGTTTGGGAAAGTTCCCCACGCCGAAGGCAGGAGGTTTGCATGGTGAATACTCGTATTATGTATAGGGCAGGACAGTTCCGTAGACACAGTCAGTATACCTTCTTCCATGGAAGGCCCTGTGTTGTTTTGGCTTTTTGCACAAGGACATCTTCGAGACCTTATGCCATGTAGAGGTCCGAACAGACAGCATCACCAACATCAGCCGCAGTAGCTGTTGCGGCAACCATATAGTCGTTATGTGTCACTCGCTCTTACTCCTATTCCTACCCCCACACCTACTCCCATTGCTACTGCTACTCCTAATGCTGCTGCCACCGTTGCTGGTGGCTGCTGGCTGCTGACTGCAAACTGCTGACTGCTACTGCTGCTGCTAAGTACCACTGCCACTGCAACTGCTACGACTACTTCTGCTGCTGCTACTACTACTGCTACTACTACCACTACTACCACCATCACCACTACTACTACAACTACTACTACTGCTATTGCAACTGCCACTACTTTACTATTACTACTGTTCATACTACTACTACTACTACTACTACTACTACTACTACTACTACTACTACTACTACTACTACTACTACTACTAGTACTACTACTACTACTACTACTACTATTACTACTACTACTACTACTACTACCACCACTACTACCACTACTACGCCTACTCCTGCTCACTCCTACTCCTACTCCTACTCCCACTACGACTGTTACTTCTACTACTACTGCTACTACTACTACTACTACTACTACTGCTACTACTACTACTACTACTACTACGACTCCTCTACTACTACTCCGCCTCATGCTGCTGCGGCTGCAGCATACTGCTACTACTACTGCTACTACTACTATTATTGTCTCTAGTACTAATAGTTTTAGTACTAGTACTAGTACTACTACTACTACTATTACTACTGCCACTACCACTACCACTACCACGACTACTGCTGCTGCTGCTACTACCACCACCACCACCACCACCACGAGTTCGATCACGCAACTACGAGCGGCTCCTGCTCCTGCTGCTGCTGCTGCTGCTCTTGCTGGTGTCAGTGCCATGATGAGCAGTACGACGTTGACTACTGCTACTGCTCCCGCTACTACTGTCAGGTAATGGCACTGACAGGATGGCGACGATAGTACCAACAATCTTCGCACCAACTAGAGCCATGAGCGACATAGCATTGAGCATAGTGGCATAGTGTGTAATTGTGTAGGCATGCCATTTGCGCGTAAATGTATACATACAGAATACATAGACATACATATTCCCGAAGCTCGAACTTGAGAATAACAGTAGATAGAGTTTGACGACGGATGTTCAGTTGTTTGTTCATTCGTCCGCCGGTGGCTTTTGCAGCTTCTCAGCTTTTCCGTTCTCCTTCGTCCCACACCATGCAGTGCTGTGAGCCTGCAGTGAACGACGAAGCCTGGCAGAAATTCGAGGTTTGGTTTTAGGGTACACTTGGTTTTCAATATGCTTTCATGCAGGAGCGTACCAAACACAAGTGTAGCAGCACGTTAGATGACTCGTTTGCTAAGCAATAAGCTGTGCAAAACATCCAAGTAGGTGTTCGTACCGGTGACCAACCGTAGCTTTTCCCAAGTCCTCAGTGACCCGAAATTACGCAAAATTTGAAAGGGCTTGACTTCTGACGTGCCAGCCAGGAAAAGGATGCAGTCAATATCCCAGGGGAGACCACGCCGATCGAGACCGTGTCTCAAGGCTGCGCTTGATGGCATGCATTCAGAAATCATAAAATGCTTCTCCGAAGGTTCAGCAAGCGACATGTCCTGTGAAGGACCGCAGTCCTTGGATACAGCGAGTCGAATGATTAAGAAACTTTTTTCACGCCAGGTGTAATCTCACATGCATCGATGTCAACTGGTTTATTCAAGACTTGGGGGCGACATACCGGCTCGATAGCCCGGGACCCCCCCCATAATCAGAAAGTCTGAGGAATACGGGGGTAGCGGGGGGACAGACTACAAGGGGGGGGTTGTAGTCCAGGGCTCGCTGTTCTGGGTTTGGAAAAAGTTTAAGCGGAGGCGGGGCTTATCGTCCCGATTTGGACAGAATAGAAGGGGGACCTGAACACTTTAGAGCATTCGCGGGTGACCCTGCAGATCGACAGCGAGAGTTCACTGAAAGGCGAGGGGAGCTTGGAGTCCTGGATTTGGCGGGGGGGTCGTCCTGGAGTGGACAGACTACAAGAGGGGCTCACAGTTCTTAAAGGGGCAACAACAGTACACATTCGTGTTCCAAGCCGGGGACTACAAGCCGCCCTCCCCCTCCCTTCATAGTTTGTTCAAATTCAGGACAACAACCCCCCCCCCTCCCGCCCCGCCCGCCCCCCTTTCTAGAAGTGTAAAGCGGGCGGTCCAGGCTGCTGTTGAGCCGGACTCCGTTTGACACAGCATATGCCTGGGAAAAGCAGGTATTGCATGTATCCAAACCCCAAGCCCTAAAGCCGAAGCCCCAAGGGCTGCAAGACAGAGCCAAGGCCTGCGGATCCCGACGAAGCTCCTGCAGAGGCACAGCCGGACTTGAAAGTGGCCGCGGTGGCACTTGAGGATGAGGATGCTCCGGTGCACAGCAGGTACAGGTAGCCCTTATACTTAGTACCCGCCGGTATGGAGGCAGTATAAGCCGTTAAAGACAGAAGCTTCAGATCTCACGGAAGAAGCACCTTTGGCAAACAAGGAAGCGCCTCCGATTGCAGAGGAGGAAGCAGCCGAACCCGTGAAGGCCAAGCCAACCAAAGCTTCCCTCTGCAAGCTATTCTCACAGATGGATACGGTGGAGGCCATGGTCTTGATCGTGGGCACGCTATGTGCAATGGCCCACGGTGTCGCGCAACCGCTCATGATTGTCATCTTTGGCGATCTCATCGATGCACTTGGCGGAACTCCTGAAGAGGTCCAGCGTGAGACAGAACGGCTGTCTTTGATTATGTGTGCTGTTGGTGGCGGAGCTTTGGTGGCAGCGACACTTCAGGGGGCATGCTTCAAGATCTTCTCTGACTCGCAGACCATGAAGTTCCGGATCATGTATTTCCAGGACATCCTGCACCAGGATGTTGGCTGGTTCGATACCAAGGAAGTCTCGGCATTGTCGGCTGAGATCCAGGACGACCTGTCCAAGATCCAAGATGCCTTCGGTGACAAGTTTGGCAACGGCACCCTGGTCGTTTCGTTAGACTGTCCGAGATTCGGCAGTCGTTTTTTTCTTCTTGCTGTCAAGGTGCAGCCCAGATACTCCGGTTCGGTTGGTTCAAGCCCGAAATGCAAAAGCATGAACAGTGCCATGACTGCTGATTCTGCGGTTCTGCGGCACTATTATCACTGCTACGGCCGCTGAGGCTGCAGCAGCTGCTGCTTCTACTGGTGCTAGCAAATCTACAAATAAATATACTCCCACGACGAGGCCTGATCCCCGAAATCTCACTTGAACTCCCAAGCCCAAACCGTGTATAATTACTCCTGTCAACCACGGTTTTTCCACACATCTCGTAAAGCCAAGGTGTGATGGCTTTGTCGGCCTTCCTTGGAGGTTTTGTTTGCGCCTTTGGCCTCGGCTGGCTGCTTGCACTCATCCTCTCCGCAGTGCTGCCGTTCATGGCAGCTAGGTCTTGTTTGAGCATATGGGGAGTTCAAGTATGGTGATGTTGGTGCATTGATCAGAAATCCGGTTTGCCTGCCAGCTACAAGACACTTGCGGCGCCGATAGAAAGTGGTAGATCGCTACATCATACGAGTCACAGGTGTGCATGAGATGATAGCTACCCTGCACAATCGCACTGGATCCCGGATCCTCAAACCCACTGCAGACCCCTTGACCCTGACTTAGACTAGACCCACAAAATTGCAGATCGAGGCCCTGGGAACATACTTCGTCGGACAGGCTGTTGCCGAGGTGCAGATGACTGTGCAAGAAAAGCCACGATTGAGGTTTGAGCTTGGCGCAGTATGGGGGCCTAGTGAGAGTAGCATGTGTCTAACATGCATCGTGCATCCTTTCTCCTTACTGTGTCGACAGCTTGGACGACGACAGCAAGGGCTGGGATAATGACGAGCTGCTGCTTCTCCTGTTACTCCTCCTCCTCCTCCTCCTCCCCCTCTTCCTAATGCTGCTTTTCGTCGTACGACGACGACGACTACGAGCGCGACTGCGACAACGGCTTCAACAGCAAGATCACGTCTGCGTAGCACGGCTGGTGTTTTCGTGCCTCACTTGGCATCGTCATAATCATGGTCATCATCATTGTTATCGTCATTTCTGCCGGATGCTCTCGCGAATGGACGTTGTCATGCCTTGGCCGTGGATGCCCTGGACATCGAACGGTCCTTATCATGCTCTGGCAGTGGAGGCTCTTGTTACCGTATACGCTCACGCGAGTGGATGTTATGATGTGGTGAACCGCTCAGCACAAACAACGTTGCGCCTGTCGAGGTTTTCGCACATGACTTTTGGGAAACCCGCGGCAAAAATGCCAGAAACCAGCACAACAAAAAGCGGCCAGGGATCAACCCCTCTTGTCTCCCACAAGAACGTTCTCAGGCAACGTCCATGCGCAAAGCTGTCGTGCCTGTCGGCGAGCTATTACGGCTTCATCAAAAGACAGCATGCAAAGCACCGATAGGAATCCAGACCCTGCCATGCATGCCGAAACCACCATTTGCCTAACAGCACAGCAACAACACAGCAGCAACGGCAACCGACCACTACTACTACTACTACTACTACTACTACTACTACTACTACTACTACTACTAGTACTACTACTACTACTCCTACTACTCCTACTACTCCTGCTGCCGCTACTACTATTACTACTACTACTACTACAACTACTACTACTACTGCTGCTACTACTACTACTACTCCTACTCCTACTACTCCTGCTGCCGCTACTACTACACTACTGCTGCTAATACTGCCAGTGTTACTACTACTACTACTACTACTACTACTACTACTACTACTACTACTACTACTCCTACTCCCACTACGACTGTTACTTCTACTGCTACTACTACTACTACTGCTACTGCTACTGCTACTACTGCTACTACGACTACTACTACAACAACAACTACTACTACTGCTGCTACTACTACTACTACTGCTACTACTACAACAACAACTACTACTACTGCTGCTACTACTACTACTACTGCTACTACTCCTACTACTCCTGCTGCCGCTACTACTACACTACTGCTGCTAATACTGCCAGTGCTACTACTACTACTACTACTACTACTACTACTATTACTACTACTACTACTACTACTACTACTACTACTACTACTACTACTAATACTACTACTACTACTACTACTACGACTACTACTGCTACGACGACTACTACTGCTACGACGAGGACTACTACTACTACTACTACTACTACTACTCCTGCTGGGACGACGACGACTACTACTACGATGACTCGATGACCACTACTACTACTACTACTACTACGACTACGACTACTTCTACTTCTACTTCTACTGCTACTTCTACCTGCACCTTTTCTCCATCATGAGGTGCAGATGGAGTCTCAGGGCTGGTACGCCAAGGCTGCCAGCGTGGTGGAGGAGATACCGTCTTCTTCAACGCGTGTGGTGCCCACAATCCACGTGGCTACGTATTTCATTCAAGCACCATGCAAGAGGCACAAACACACACCACAACTCTTGAAGCACCAGACTGGTCGATACAGCGGGACCCACTCTTCAGGAGCAGGAAGTCGTTTCGACGTAGTGTGCATGTCTGCATATGCCGTCATGACTGTCACTGCATGACGAAGATGCTGCAAATACATTCAATCCCACATGTACGGATTGCACGACAGCTGGATGAATCATGCATGGTCGCCAATGCTGTAGACTTACTCAGGTAAGCATGCATGGATGAAAAAGGGTACGTCGTGATATATCGCAAAAGGGGTGGCTACTGGAGCTTCGTTGGACCAAGCCGAGCCATGCATCCCTGGTGCCCCTGCATACGTGTAACCAGCATGAGCGAGCAAATTGCAACAAAGTGTTTTGACCAAGCAATTGCAATTTCACGCGGCGCCGAAACATGGATGTAACACCTGCAGAACACAGCAAAAGTCAACATGGTACACGGCTCATCGCGTGTACAGCAGATGACGCAAACCAACACACACACACACACAAGCACGCACACGGATACGAACACTAGGTCCGATGCCTATAGAGCCGAGTTCCCAAACTGCACATGCTCAACCGCCAACCTCCGGAGCATCAACTGCATTTTCCTGCAAACCAAAGAGGAGTGCCTGTACGGCATGCGCACGGTGGTGGCCTTCGGAAGCGAGCAGAAGGACAGGCCGGGGTAGGACAATTATCCCCCTCCTCAAATACAGCTCCGCCAAACTCCTGAGCCGTCCGACCCACTGAGCTGCTCGGTCTAGTCCACTGACACCATCGCTGCCCTGTTTGTGTGTTTTGCATCTTCGAGGAGCTTGCCTGAGCCCCCCACCCACAGCCTGAACAGATGACTCTGAGGAGCTTGAGAAGTTCTCCGTTGCGGTCGCTCAGACACGGGGTCTTGAAACAGCACGCTTTGCCTCTGTGGTTTAGCCCATGTTCGTTGGAAGCAAGAATACCGTTCCATCGCGAACTCGCCCTCAGGACACGCAGGGGCGGCATTCGGAATGGTCTTCGGATCGGCCTCGGCACGGGATTCTCCTGGTTCGTGGAGTGGCGTGCCACGTATTGCTCTGGGTCTTCGGGTTGAGGTATATGTTTAGAAATCCTAAGCGTAACGAATCGTAGTAACGATTGTGGTAGTAGCATCGGTGGCAGTGATCACGATACTTTCTACCCACGCATTCTTGCCAGTAACGAAATCTCTGGCATGGGGTGCGAACTAGGAGTGACAACTGTACGGAGTGCAAGCAGGTAATGAACAGTATCCAGAAGACTCGTGACCCATGTCTAGACTGTAAGGAGACATCGTCCTTCCATTTTTCTACCTCCAGGATGACCGCTACCACTGCTGCTGCTGCTTCTACTCCCATTACTGCTGCTGCTACTGCAAGTACTGCTCCTACCGCTACTACTCTACTACTGCTACTACTGCTACTACCACTACCACTACCACTACCACTACAACTGCGACTACTACTACTACTACTACTACTACTACTACTACTACTACTACTACCACTAATACTACTCTTACTACTACTACTACTACTAGTACTACTACTGCTACTGCTACTGCTACTGCTACTACTACTACTGCTACTACTGCTACTGCTACTACTACTACTACTACTACTACTACTACTACTACTACTACTACTACTATTATGATTACTAGTACTAGGACTACTACTACTACTACTACTACTACTACTACTACTACTACTACCACTACTTTTACTACTACTGCGACGACGACGAGTACGCTTCTACGACGACGACTACTACTACTCCTGCTCCTGCTGCTGCTCTTGCTCCCTGCTCTTGCTCCTGCTCCTTCTCCTGCTCCTGCTGCTTCTGTGGCTGCTTCTATACTATGCTGCATTCACGTCAACGGCCTGAGCACTGTTGGCAGTGTCCACTTTTCCACAGGATGCTAACCACGCACATTCCCTAAGGCTTTCGATCTCCATTGATGGTAGGTTGTTGAGACTGCAAGGGTTGATGGCTTGTTCTGTGGATTTTCACTTCTGCTGCAGTTACTGCCTGATCTTCTTAACGCGACGAAGATTCACAAGAAAGTCTGAAAGACCTGAACGTCTGGACGGTGGGCCACTTTGGCACCATCGGTGTGCTTCGAAGCATGATGTAATAACATAGCATCCCCGCACACGCAAGTCCGCATACAGGCTTCGGATGTTAGATTTCCCCGTTTGTTTAAGCTTCGTTCATCTTCTTTCGTGGTGTCCGAGACTGAGCTTTTCAGCCTGAGCCTACATCGCTCCACCCGCTGCCGTGAATCCGTTACCACAAGCCATTTGCGATGCCACAGGTATTCGAACTATGCGCTGGCCTTCTTTGCGGGAATGAACTTCGCCTACCACCGGGAGCTAAATCCTGCCACTGGCGAGCCATGGAGAACCGGCGACATCATGCCGCTGGGCCTGGTTTCCAGTCCGCTGAATCCAAAACCAAAGGAGACGCCCAGTGACCCCAGACTGCCTGTACCAGTGCCATGCGCGTACCAGTAACAACAGTGGCGCAAACATGGAAACAATGGGATCCACGGTGTAGATGCCGAAACTAGTCTACATAGACATAGCATTCAGGACCATCTTCTTCTGCATTTTCATCGGCAGCTTCTTTATGGGCCAGATCGATCCGAGCGTCAAGGCTGCCAAGTCCCTGAGCATGCTCTGGGTTTCTGAGGTCTCTCAAGATTGCTGCAACGCGTGGATGTCCAGATCCTACATGTCCACAGCCGAAATCTGACACACAAGCAGACATATCAATCCACCTTCGGCATGGCTCCAGTGTCAAGCTGCAGTGACACGCTCGTTGGCAATGTCCGTTAAACACCGCACAGAAATGCTGTGTTACCCGAAGCCAACCCGTGGAGTCCGCTCGCGGAGCGGTTCAAGCCCAAGAACCCACGAACGGAAAAGCTAGCAAACGCCTCTGACCCCGTCTCGGTTTGAACGCCTGGCTGCAAAAGCCGTGAAGGCCATGGGTTCCGCTCAAATGGCTGCATACCGCTTCTTCAAGGCGCTTGGGGAGCCGGTTTGACGTTTATGGGCATGCGTTGCTGGCACTTGTGGCTAGCATGGTGCAGCCCAGATGTTGAACATGTGAAAGTGCCTTGCTTCACTCGGTTTTCCGCATTTCAATTGCGGCTTTCAGCGACAGGGCTCAACACTCCCTGCAGGTTCATGACAACAAGCCGGCCATTCAGCGCCGGGACGCAGATGAGAGGAAGGAGGTGTCTAGCATCGAGACTTTTGCCTTCGAGCAAGTGCACTTCTCCTACCCCGCCCGACCGAGCGTCACAGTCCTCGGTGGAGTAACCTTGACCATCAATCGTGGCCAGAAGGTTGCCTTTGTGGGTGAGTCCGGATCTGGGAAAAGCACGATCATGGCTCTACTGGAACGCTTTTACGACCCAAGCTCGGGGGTTGTCTATGTGAACGGATGGGATATGCGTACGTTCAAGATTCTTGGCGGTGGAATATAGTTCATGTTCTTGTTGGGAGGGCTGCCTTTTTGCTGCGTGCCATGGCCGATAGAGTGCTTTTGAGCATACAGGCTCCTGCTGCAAGAAGTATATCTATCTACCTAAGCTATAACCTGTAAGCCCGACAGCAGCCGTTGCATCGCAAAACCGACCCTCGACCCCTAAAGCAGTACAAGCTTTTCAGCACTGAAAGCGTTCGAGCCCTAATCCCTGAACATCGCGCTGACCTGCAAGTTCCGGAACTTAGGATCGGCGCCCTCCGGAAATGCATTGGCTATGTTGGGCAGGAGCGGCTGTGGCATTCGTGTCACCAGAGCTACGGTCATGACGTTGCTGCGCCGTCTTTCTTGGCAACGACGGCTAGGGCTGGTGCTGCGTTGACTTAAGCTTGCAAGAGGGCTTCGAGTGTAGATGGAATTCCGGTGCAGTGACCCTGGTGGGCAGGAGCCGGTCCTCTTCTCACAGTCCATCCGGGCAAACATCATGCAAGGGTGCTCTGGCCCACAAAGACTGTGTGTTGGTGTGTCTGAAAAGAATGGCGGATATATGTATACTTATAAAGATAGAGACGAGTTTCAATTATGAGCAACTTTGTGTATCAGTTGGCTATTGTTTCCTTCCCCTAGCACATACTGATGTGGGTTATATATATATAGATATGTATGCATGTATGCAATGTAGTGCAACATCATGCAACGCAAGGTAAGGAGACTTAATGGGCAGTAATGCAGTGTAAGTAAATAAGTAAGTAAGTAAGTATGTATGCATGCATGCAAGCACGCGTGTAGTCTATGTATGTAGCTATGCATGCATGTATGTAAGTATGTACGTGTGTATTGTAGTGTCAGCCTGTATGTGTGTATGTGATTATACATGTCTGTCTGTATGTATGTCTTTGTGTATGTCTGTGGGTATGTTTTCGGTATACTAATACACCGTGCACGTATGCATGTGCGTAGGTATGGTGTGGCATGGCATGGTATGGTTAGTATGGTTTGCATGTATGCATGTATGTATGTACACATGTGGGCTTGCTGCATGCGCACACTCCAAGCGCAAAAGATTCAAGCGGTGGGCAAGCCATGGCCGGCTTGCATCAACTAAGGAACCCCGAAGCCTCGAAGGAGCAGTTTCAACAGGCATGCGCAGATGCCCAGCTGACGTTTGTGGATTCTCTCCCGGAGAAGTACAACACGTTTGTGGGCGCAGGCCTTCATCGCGTGTACTGGCAGGGGCACGGGAGCAGCATGACTGGTGCCAAGCTACTACGATATCATGACGTTGGGGACCTTATGGCGATGTCTTTCCAGATCTTGCATACATGATGTTACGTATGCATGCAGCATGCAAGTAAGTACGTGTTCGGATCTGTCGAGATCTTTGCGCAGCGATTCTTTTACGATCTTATTACATGATTGTAATGTCATGACTTGTGGTTTTGCTTTCCGTGTTGTGTTGTGCAGCCAGTCTAGCTCCGAAGCTAGGTCCGGTTGAATGGAGTTTGAAAGTGGGCTCCATACCAAAACAGTAACTCTTTTTGGGTTTCTGTATTGCGGGAAGGCGAAGACTTGAACATCATCGCAGCCCCTGCATTGAGTGCACTTACTTAAAAAGTCCTAAAGACACTGACTCAAGACCCAGAGGTCCCCGGTGATAACTCGTCCATCACGGCTCCGACGATGCCCAAGGACATATCACGGACGACATGACACATGTATGTGAGTGCAGGGCTGTTTAGACAGCATACATGCTGTTTGTGCGCTTGCTGTGCAACCTGCGCCTGCTGTGCAACCCTGTATGTATGTATGCATCTCAATGTATATGTGTCTATGCATGTAATTGTGCATGTATGTCACGTCATGCATGTCACGTATGTACGCATGCACGTATGTATGTATGTATGCATGTAATGTATGTAGCTATGAATACCTATGTCTTTATGTACGTGTGTATGTATGCATGTACGTATGTATACATGCATGTATGTGTATGAGTGTACCTACCTGAGTATGTATGTTTGTCCGTACGTCCTTGTGTATGTGTGTTGTAACTATATGCCAAAGATTTTTTATTCCGGTATACTTTCACAGGCCATTTCAAGATATGTGACATGTGAGACCGAGCAAGAGACAGTTAATTATACCATGCTATTAATTTCCCCTCCCCCCCTCCAAAACAGAAAGCCGTTCCTAATCACTACGAGGCTAAGAGGCGCAAGATGATGATACACCCCAGAAGCCCGTTCGGACTATTGAGGGGCCTATAGCGCCTGGGGTCCTAGCCCTCAATTAAAGCCAAGAGCCTGAAAGTAAGAAACAGGTGGCGGTCAGCTCTCGGGAGGCCAGAAGCAGCGGATCGCACTCGCCAGGAGCTTCGGACTTTCATTGAGCCGGGCACGGGGGGGACTCCTGTTTGTTCATACCGCGAGGGTTGGGGACTTAGCGTCTTGAGTTTAGGAGCGTGGGGCTTCGGCTCTGGGTTCAGGGCTTACAGTACAGGATGTTCGGTGCAGAGGTTCCAAGGTTTCCTCCCTGTTTTATAAGCTTCGTACGCATTTGTCACCACTTCGCTAGATACCCTTTCAATTTGGATCTGCCGAGAACGAGGCCCGGCCAGGCACCAGCGCCGTCCCCTGAGACTGGCTACCCCCTCAACCCCCCCTGTCAGGGCGTTGCTGAAGGAGGCCTCTTTCCTCTTCTTGGATGAGGCGACCAGCGCCCTGGACAACACTTCCGAGAAGATGATCCAGCAGACGATTCTCAGCTGTTCTTGGATGTAGGGCTTCTACGCCTGCAAGGCATCAGGCTTTGGATCGTCTTTGCATCACATGTCTTGAAAGGATCGACAACATCAGCAGCACGACCCGCAGCCTCGGAATCGTGAGTATCGCGCATCGGCTCAGCACCATCCGCAACTCCGACCTCATCTACGTCCTAAGCCGAGGCCAGGTCGTAGAGCAGGGCAACCACCAAAGCCTCATGGAGAAGAAGGGCGTCTACTACGCGCTTGTCGCGGCCCAGGACTGGAACCTTCCGACTTCGCGACCTCCCCGACTGGCCGTAACTGGCTCCTGAAACACGCAACCTGCCTAAACCTCTGAGAATTCAAAGAACCTCAGCTTCAGGAGTCTTCTCAAAAGGCGGAGGAAGCTGAGGAGCTCGAGCTGCCGAACCAGCCGACCGTGGCCGTTCTCCGGCAGAACACCGGCCAGAGCGATGAGTCGGAGACGGCGCGGAAGGAGAGCTGCTCAGGCTTCATAGATTGGCCTGGGCTGGAGGGTTTGGGCTAAATCTCGGAATCAGAGGCTTAGCGGTTTATGCTTTGGGATTCGGGGCCCCTTTGGGCAGCGCTCAGGGTTTCACGCTTCGTGCGGACCAACACTACATGCCGCATATCCCACCATTTAGGGCTTCAGGGTGATCGGCGGCCTCAGGGCCTTGGCAGGAGCGCATGAAGAAGGAGGAAGAGGACAGGGAGAAGCAGATCACCGATAAGTACAAGGTGCCCATGTCTCGACTCCTGAGCTACAACAAACCGGAGTGGGCCTTCTTCGTGCCGGCCATTTTGGGTGCTTTGATCGAGGGTTCGGCGACTCCCATCTGCGCCTTGGCGCTGGTGGGATCCATGGATGCTTTCTTCAGGCTGGAGTTCGCGACTGTGCGGGACGAGGCCCGTGATGACATCGTGTTCCTTTGCTTCGTTTTCCTTATCATCGCGGCCTCTGTGCAAATCGGCAACATCATCGAGCATGGCGGCTTTGCTGTCCTGGCCGAGTCCATGACCGCGAGGCTGCGAGTGGATATCCTCAAAGCTATCTTCCGCCAGGAGATTGGTTTCCACGATGATCCCGAGAACACTCCGGGGATGATGTCCAAAGCCCTTGAGCTCTGGGCTTTCCGAGTGAGCACACTTTGCAAATCTATTGGCGCCAAGGCTGCGGCCATGAGCTCCGTGCTCGTCGGCGTGATCATCGCCTTCGTCTACTGCTGGCAGATGGCGTTGGTAATGCTCGGTACCGTGCCCATTATGATCGCCGCAAATGCCGTGCAGATGTTGGTCATGCTCGGAGCCTCCAAGGTAGACAACGAGGGAATCAAGCACGCCGCCCAGGTCGTCAGCGACTCTGTCATGAATGCTCGCACCGTCCAGGCCCTCGGCGTGGAACAGAGCCTGGTGCAGATGTACACCTCACTGGTCGGCAAGTCCACGAATGGCGCTTCGGCAAGTCTAGGAGTCTAGCTAGTTCAGTAAGAAGAGCTTGCCTCCTTGTTGCGTCAAGTACCACCGGAATCTGCGTTCCCACCGCCGGACAGCCAAACTTGAGCAGCAAACCCGCTATCCTCAATCCTTGAAGTTCTCTCTGGCAACCCCAATTCCTAATCAATTTGATTCGCTAGTAAGCCGCAGGCCCTAAGCCGCCCAAACCGTTAACCCCAAATTACTCAAACCCTGTAAATCAAAAAAAGTAGTAGTAGTAGTAGTAGTAGTAGTAGTAGTAGTAGTAGTAGTAGTAGTAGTAGTAGTAGTAGTAGTAGTAGTAGTAGTAGTAGTAGTAGTAGTAGTAGTAGTATAATAATAATAACAATAATAACAAAAATAACAATAATAACAATAATAACAATAATAACAATAATAACAATAATAACAATAATAATAATGGTAACAATAATAGTAATAGTAATACTAGTAATAATAATACCTGTAAAACAAGAGTATATAAATCCCTCCACCAAGGCATGTGGACCCGGAATTTCCTTGCGGGTCTCGGCTTTGGCGTTGCTTCGGGCGTGATGTTCTTCGTCATCGCCGGGGGTTTCTACTATGCCTCGGTCCTGAGGCGTTGGGGGTCCTGGGTGTTTGGGTTGCATGCACCGCAGGCCCAAAATTTGGACGGTAAGATATCTTTAAGATTCACGGTTTAAGGTTAGAGTGGGGGTGTCAAAGCTGAGTGCGCTTACTATTACTAGGAATATAGAGGTCACACGAACAAGACGCTCCTCGGAAATCTCGCTGACTAGCTAATCAACATTGGGCTTGTACCTCTGTGCTGTCTCTCGATTCGCGATATGGGGGGCGAACCATTGGCTCGATGGGTGATTGCATGTTCCGGTTCTGCAGGAGAGAAGGCGTGGCCAGCTTCAACGACACCATGATGGCCTTCATGGGCATCTTCTACGCAGGTCTGGGTGCCGGACAGGCTGCCGTGTTTATGGGCGATGCAGCAAAGGCGAAGGTACCATGGCCATACATTGCCCACGGTAGTAGGCAGACCCAAAGCCACATCTCAGCAATTAGGATGTATTAGAATGCTGGTGACGACCTCGCAACCTCCAAGCACAAAGTGTAGCGCGGTTGCTTTCCGAACTTCAGACAGATCGTCGCTGTGGCGACATTGCTACGAAGCTGGAAGGTACGAACTTTAAGGCGTTGAGGCTCCCAATTCAGTCATGTTGGTACAGAGTTGTTTCAGGCACATGGTTCTGGTCAGGGTGCAGTTGTTCTCCTCATGTTGGTCCTGCTCGTGTATTTCAGCATACTGACCCTTCCTTCAGCTGATTTATGTTTAAGGTAGCTTGCCACGACATGTTCAAGCTGCTGGACCGTGTCTCCAAGATCGATGGCCTGGAACCCAAGGGCGAAGCCCCTTTTCGAAGGTAAGTAGGCTTTCATATGTCTTTGCCTGAACTAGTGAGATCTGCGTTACAAGAACCGAACCCACCAAGCCGCAAAGTCTAACAACTCTGATTTGCTGATGTGCACACACTATGTTGATCTGCGTTTCTGGGAGCCTCGTAAGATTCCGAGCAAGCTGGATGCCGGAACCATCGAGTTCGAAGCCGTGAAGTTCTTTTACCCCTTCCGGCCAGAGGCGGGGAGTGGTGTTGGGATTTAGGTTTTGCAGCTTTGGGGGTGTGGGGCTTGTGGATTCAGGGTTTAAGTAGTGATTAGTATTCGTATGGCTGTGTGCTGTCTGTGTTGATGTCTTTGTGTTTGCGCCTTGTTTTAGTTGTTTAGCTGCTCGGTCCCCTGTGTTGTGGTTAGTGTGTTTTGTTGCTGCGTTGGCCACCTCTCCGTCCACCGCTGCATGTCCAACTCTCTTCCGGTCAGCGTACATGGTTGCTTGAAGTGTTCCCTGCTTACAAGCTTCATTAAATACATGCGCGCTTGGATGGACGCATGGATTGGTGCATGCATACACGCACACATACATAACATAATTACATAGCACCCACACATACATACAGTCATACATACATACATGCTTACAGTCAGACATGCAGGCAGCCAGGCAGACAGACATGTGTGTGTGCGCTTGTGTGTGTGTGTGCGTCCGCAACCGGCCATGCATGTGTGTAACACTGTACATATGTGGGCGGGTGGGTGGGTTTGCATCTTTGCAGGGCAACATGCATGCTTGATATATCGGCTTTCTGGCACATTTAAATGCTCGTGCTTGTGTCGCACCGGCTGTTGTAATCGATCTGATTGAATATAAGTTCACCTCTGTACTGTCACCCTGTAGACGACACCCTCCCCGACCCTCATCTACATCCCGTGCTGCTGATGCAGAGTCTGATGAAGCTTCACGACCCCAAAAGCCTTAGTTCAAATTCTGGAAAAGTCACTGGGGAGCCAGGTCCAGGTTCTCAAGGGAGTGAACTTCAAGATCCAGGCAGGTCAGTCTGTGGGCTTGGTCGGCCCTTCTGGTGGCGGCAAGAGCACCTGGCTCCCTCTTTTGTGGATAGGGGTTACGAATACAGGGGGGTTGCTGGGTTGGGAGTGGAGTCGTTTTATGGTCCGCTTGGAGCCGACATGTTAAGCTTAGAGCTTAGGAATCCGGGAGCTTCGGGGCTTTGTGGTAGCTCATGGAGACGTCCATCATGGCGCCAAGATTTCCTGTTACATTTTTGGGCCAGGTGCCTTGAGACCTGACAGCGCATGCACGAGCCAAGCCAAGGCACGGTTATGTCGCTGATCCAGCGGTTCTACGACCCACAAGAGGGAGCCGTCTACGTTGGCGAGGCCTCGCACTGCAGTTCCATGCTTCATCGGTCGTTATGTCAAGCCGTGTCCTTCATCGGAAAGAGCTGAGGATGATTGATCCCAGTATGCACGTCATCAACATCGCTACAAACAGAGCACAAGTGGCCCCTCACAAATCTGGAGCCGAAGGTTCACGATGTGAGATCTCGTATATGTGACGAGCAGTTGTTGGAATTCATCATGCAAAGGCCTATATAAGACAGTCGCTCATAGAGTGTGGGGATCCTCATCCCAAAGCATAGTTGGCGACTCGCCAGCCGCCAGTCCCCAACCCAAACCCAGATTCAATTTCGGAGTCGAAAAGGCGCGGAAGCCCCTTCACGAGCTGAACATCCGCTGGTGGCGTCGGCAGATCGGCTTTGTCGGGCAGGAGCCTGTGCTGTTCAACACCACCGTGCGGAACAACATCTTGTACGGTCGCTGGGCGGCACATAAGTTGTAGAATGTATTCCAGGACGCGGCAACCCTTTTTTAGTGCATGAGCACAGCATACACATCTGCTCTGTACATGTAGACAGGCTCCTGTAAGATACTATACATAAACGAATCAGCGTTTTTGAGACATGATGCAAGCTTATGGTGACATGGTAGCCAAAGAAATTGCTTGCATCAGTTTGCTGGCAAGGTATCCTTTGTCAGGTCTCGGCATGCGACATGAACGGAACTGTTATTTTTCAGGCTTCTTGACCTCGTGGCTTGATCCGGGCTTGAGCTGAGCTCCTAAACCGATCGGGAAGCCTAAAGAGTCTCTAACAAGCATAGGGCATAGGGTCCAGTCTTCAGTTGGCTCACGGAGTGTAGCCTAAATGGTACACCTAGCAGATTGCGTCGGCGTGGTGGCCTGCCTCTCTCGAGAAAACAAGTCGATCTCCCGTTTATTTGTGTGTTTTAGTTGTTCTCCTGTCGATACGAAGTATGCACATAACTATATGCACACGCAGCCTCAAAATCGAATCCTCGTCCTAAAACTTTTCAACTTTCCTCAGAACCTGATGTGCTGACGACGAAAGGAACCGCTGACGCACGACAGACACAAGCTATGCTGAACAAAGCCGCGTAGGGTCTAGAAGGCTTTCACCTGCCCACGAAGTTTTGGAGCCGGTAGCTTTGAACGCCACGAACTTCAACAAGACTCGAGAACCTGAGGCCTTGAAGAAGGTGAGACCGTGACGGAAGAGTACATCAAGAAGTGTGAGGAAATGTGCAACTTGAAGCTCCTTGCTGATCGTTCATGCTATCCATCGGCGACTCTAGACGATCGTAGACGGTGTTGGGTTGTCGAGTGCTATTCAGTTTCATCCTGGTACTGAGCTATTGACTTAAGATTTGATCTGCCTCGTTGCTTGTTTGTCGTTTGCTTGTCCCTCTCTGTGTGTCTCTCTCTCCCTCTATCCGTCTCTCCCTTCCTTTATTTATCTGTTTGTCTCTATCTCTTTCTCTCTCTCTCTCTCTCTCTGTCTCTCGATCGCTCTCTTTTGTTGTTCTGTGTCCGTCTCTCTCAATCTCTCTCTCCCTCTCCCGCTGCCACTCCTTGATTGTTCTTGCACACATAACTCTCTTCCCGTGACGACCAAAAGTATCAGTCCATCACAGATACAGAGACAGGCGGCAGGGCCTAACTTCCTATCATTCCATAGGGTTGGAACATCTTAGCACTCATTCCGAACAACGTGTGTTTGCTTCGACAGAGAACCTCTTGTTCTAGCTGTTCGGAGCGAGTACAGCAGGATCCGTCGCAACTCGGTGTCCGCGTGTCAGCGGCCTTTCGATCTCTCTTGCTTTTCAGACTCAAGCTGCTACTCGCGCGCTTATATACCACTTTGTTTAAGACTTGTATGCGCTGCCAGAGATTGAGAGAGTTCCTCAAACGTAAGCGGCTACTCCCATCTTATTCGACATCTATACGCTGCGAGAGATTGAGGGAAGGTTTGAAAGCGTACGCACTCACCCCGATCTTGTTCAAATCTATATGCGCTGCGAGACATTTAGAAGGTCTGAGAGCAGACTCGCATACCCCGATCACGCCCCGATCTTGTTCAATGTTCTGTGAGAGATTTAGACGAGAAGTCCCCAAGACACAAGCGTTTTAACCCGATCTTGTTCGACATCTATGTGAAGGGCTGGAAGTATACGCGCTTACCCCGATCTTGCTCAACATCTATGTTCTGTGAGAGATTTTGACGAGAAGTCCCCAAGACACGAGCGTTTTACCCCGATCTTGTTCGACATCTGAATGAAGGCCTGGAAGCATACGCGCTTACCCCGATCTTGCTCAACATCTGTGTTCTGTGAGAGATTTAGACGAGAAGTCCCCAAGACACAAGCGTTTTACCCCGATCCTGTTCGACATCTATATGAAGGCCTGGAAGCATACGCGCTTACCCCGATCTTGCTCAACATCTGTGTTCTGTGAGAGATTTTGACGAGAACCAAGACACAAGCGTTTTACCCCGATCTTGCTCAACATCTATGTTCTGTGAGAGATTTTGACGAGAAGTCCCCAAGACACAAGCATTTTACCCCGATCTTGTTCGACATCTATATGAAGGCCTGGAAGCATACGCGCTTACCCCGATCTTGCTCAACATCTACGTTCTGTGAGAGATTTTGACGAGAAGTCCCCAAGACACAAGCGTTTTACCCCGATCTTGTTCGACATCTATATGAAGGCCTGGAAGCATACGCGCTGACCCCGATCTTGCTCAACATCTATGTTCTGTGAGGGATTTTGACGAGAAGTCCCCAAGACACAAGCGTTTTACCCCGATCTTGTTCGACATCTATATGAAGGCCTGGAAGCATACGCGCTTACCCCGATCTTGCTCAACATCTATGTTCTGTGAGAGATTTTGACGAGAAGTCCCCAAGACACAAGCGTTTTACCCCGATCTTGTTCGACATCTATATGAAAGCCTGGAAGCATACGCGCTTACCCCGATCTTGCTCAACATCTATGTTCTGTGAGAGATTTTGACGAGAAGTCCCCAAGACACAAGCGTTTTACCCCGATCTTGTTCGACATCTATATGAAGGCCTGGAAGCATACGCGCTTACCCCGATCTTGCTCAACATCTATGTTCTGTGAGAGATTTTGACGAGAAGTCCCCAAGACACAAGCGTTTTACCCCGATCTTGTGCGACGTCTATATGAAGGCCTGGAAGCATACGCGCTTACCTCGATCTCGCTCAACATCTTTTTTCTGTGAGAGATTTTGACGAGAAGTCCCCAAGACACAAGCGTTTTTACCCCGATCTTGTTCGACATCTATATGAAGGCCTGGAAGCATACGCGCTTACCCCGATCTTGCTCAACATCTATGTTCTGTGAGAGATTTTGACGAGAAGTCCCCAAGACACAAGCGTTTTACCCCGATCTTGTTCGACATCTATATGAAGGCCTGGAAGCATACGCGCTTACCCCGATCTTGCTCAACATCTATGTTCTGTGAGAGATTTTGACGAGAAGTCCCCAAGACACAAGCGTTTTACCTCGATCTTGTTCGACATCTATATGAAGGCCTGGAAGCATACGCGCTTACCCCGATCTTGCTCAACATCTATGTTCTGTGAGAGATTTTGACGAGAAGTCCCCAAGACACAAGCGTTTTACCCCGATCTTGTTCGACATCTATATGAAGGCCTGGAAGCATACGCGCTTACCCCGATCTTGCTCAACATCTATGTTCTGTGAGAGATTTTGACGAGAAGTCCCCAAGACACAAGCGTTTTACCCCGATCTTGGTGGACATCTATATGAAGGCCTGGAAACATACGCGCTTACCCGGATCTTGCTCAACATCTATGTTCTGTGAGAGATTTTGACGAGAAGTCCCCAAGACACAAGCGTTTTACCCCGATCTTGGTGGACATCTATATGAAGGCCTGGAAGCATACGCGCTTACCCCGATCTTGCTCAACATCTATGTTCTGTGAGAGATTTAGACGAGAAGTCCCCAAGACACAAGCGTTTACCCCGTTCTTGTTCGACATCTATATGAAGGCCTGGAAGCATACGCGCTTACGCCGATCTTGCTCAACATCTATGCTCTGTGAGAGATTTTGACGAGAAGTCCCCAAGACACAAGCGTTTTACCCCGATCTTGTTCGACATCTATATGAAGGCCTGGAAGCAGACGCGCTTACCCCGATCTTGCTCAACATCTATGTTCTGTGAGAGATTTTGACGAGAAGTCCCCAAGACAAGCGTTTTGCCCCGATCGTGTTCGACATCTATATGAAGGCCTGGAAGCATACGCGCTTACCCCGATCTCGCTCAACATCTATTTTCTGTGAGAGATTTAGACGAGAAGTCCCCAAGACACAAGCGTTTTACCCCGATCTTGTTCGACATCTATATGAAGGCCTGGAAGCAGACGCGCTTACCCCGATCTTGCTCAACATCTATGTTCTGTGAGAGATGTTGACGAGAAGTCCCCAAGACACAAGCGTTTTAGCCCGATCTTGTTCGACATCTATATGAAGGCCTGGAAGCATACGCGCTTACCCCAAACTTTGTTCAACATCTATGTTCTGTGAGAGATTTTGACGAGAAGTCCCCAAGACACAAGCGTTTTAGCCCGATCTTGTTCGACATCTATATGAAGGCCTGGAAGCATACGCGCTTACCCCAAACTTTGTTCAACATCTTTGTTCTGTGAGAGATTTTGACGAGAAGTCCCCAAGACACAAGCGTTTTACCCCGATCTTGTTCAACATCTATATGCTCTGCGAGAGATGTAGGGCAGGCCTGGAAGCATTTTAATGCGCATACCCCGATCTTGCTCAACATCTATGTTCTGTGAGAGATTTAGACGAGAAGCCCCCGAGACACAAGCGTTTTGCCCCGATCTTGTTCAACATCTATATGCTCTGCAAGAGATGGAGGGCAGGCCTGGAAGCATATTAATACGCATACCCCGATCTTGTTCAACATCTATGTTCTGTGAGAGAATTAGACGAGAAGTCCCCAAAGCATAAGCGTTTACCCCGATCTTCTTCAACATCTATATGCTCTGCGAGAGATGTAGGGAAGGCCTGGAGGGATACGCGCTTACCCTGATCTTGTTCAACATCTATGTTCTGTGAGATACTTAGACGAGAAATCCCCAAAACACAAGCGTTTACCCCGACCTTCTTGAACATCTATATGTTCTGTGAGAGATGTAGGGAAGGCCTGGACGGATACGCGCTTACCCTGATCTTGTTCAACATCTACAAGTATGTTCTGTGAGAGATTTAGACGAGAAGTCCCCAAAGCACAAGCGTTTACCGCGATTTTGTTCAACATCTGTATGCTCTGCGACAGATCTGGGGAAGGCCTGGAAACATATGCGCTTGCCCCGATCTTGTTCAACATCTATGTTCTGTGAGAGATTTAGACGAGAAGTTCCCAAAGCACAAGCGTTTACCCCGATCTTGTTCAACATCTATATGCTGTGCGACAGATGTGGCGAAGGCCTGGAAGCATATGCGCTTGCCCCGATCTAATTCAACATCTTTGTTCTGTGAGAGATTTAGACGAGAAGTCCCCAAAGCACAAGCGTTTACCCCGATCTTGTTCAACATCTATGTTCTGTGAGAGATTTAGACGAGAAGTCCCCAAAGCACAAGCGTTTACCCCGATCTTGTTCAACATCTATGTTCTGTGAGAGATTTAGACGAGAAGTCCGCAAAGCACAAGCGTTTACCCCGATCTTGTTCAACATCTATGTTCTGTGAGAGATTTAGACGAGAAGTCCCCAAAGCACAAGCGTTTACCCCGATCTTGTTCAAAATCTGTATGCTGTGCGACAGATGTGGGGAAGGCCTGGAAGCATAGGCGCTTGCCCCAATCTTATTCAACATCTATGTTCTGTGAGAGATTTAGACGAGAAGTCCCCAAAGCACAAGCGTGTACCCCGATCTTGTTCAACATCTATGTTCTGTGAGAGATTTAGACGAGAAGTCCCCAAAGCACAAGCGTTTACCCCGATCTTGTTCAACATCTATGTTCTGTGAGAGATTTAGACGAGAAGTCCCCAAAGCACAGGCATTTACCCCGATCTTGTGCAACATCTATGTTCTGTGAGAGATTTAGACGAGAAGTCCCCAAAGCACAAGCGTTTACCCCGATCTTGTTCAACATCTATGTTCTGTGAGAGATTTAGACGAGAAGTCCCCAAAGCACAAGCGTTTACCCCGATCTTGTTCAACATCTATGGTCTGTGAGAGATT